AAACAACACAACAATAGGAAATAACTTCAATACCCCACTCTCACAAAAAGGTCATCCAGACAAGAATCAACAAAGAAACTTCAAAATTAAACAAACACTCTAAATCAAATAGATTTAAGAGACACCTATAGAATATTCCACCCAAAAGCTGCAAAAAACACATTCTTCTCAGCAGCCCATAGAATGTTCTCCAAAATAGAGCAAGTTTTAACAAGTAAGAGAAAACAGAAATAGCCTTCTGTAACCTATCATACCACAATGGAATAAAACTATAAAAACAACCAGAAAATACTCAAACACATGCAAACTCAACAATAAACTGCTGGATGGTCAGTGGGTCATTAAGGAAATAAGGGGGGAATAAAAAAAAACTGCTAGACTCAAATGAAAACACAACTTACCAGAACTTCTGGGATACAGCATATGCAATGGTAAAAGCAAAGCTTATAGCTATGAGTGCCTACATAAAAAAAAGTCAGAACACTCTCAAATAACCTAATGATGTACCTAAAGCTCTAAGAAAATCAAAAACAAGCCAATCCCCAAATTAGTCGGTAGAAATAATAAAGATCAGGGCAGAAATTAATGAAATGGACTCTAAAACAAAACAATACAAAGAATCAAACAAAAAGTTGGTTCTTTGAAAAGGTAAACAAGATTGACAAACTGTAGCCACACTAACCAAAAGGAGGAAAAAGACCTAAATTAATAAAATTAGAGATGAAAAAGAGATATCACAACAAATATCAATGAAATTCAAAGAATCCTTAGGGAATACTTTGAAAACTTATAATAAATTGGAAAATCTAGAAGAAGTAGATAAATTTCTAGATGCAAATGACCTTCCTAAATTGATCCAAGAGTACATGAACCACTTAAACAGATCTAACAAGATTGAGGCAGTAATAGTCCCCCAATAAAGAGCCCAGGATGGGATAGATTGACTGCCAGATTCTACCAAACTTTAAAGAACAACAGTGCTCTTCAAATGATTCCAACGGCTCAAGCATTAGCAATGGCCTAGCAAGCATGAGGCCCTGAGTTCAAACCCCAGTGCTGCCAAAAAATAAATAAATACATAAAACAGAAAAGGAAGAACTTCTACCAAACTCATTCTATAATGCTGGTATTACTCTGATACCCAAACCAGGTAAGAGCACAAAAAAAAAAGAAAGTTACCCAATTTCCTTGATAAACATAAATATAAAAATTCCCAATAAAATACTTACAAACTGAATTTGACAACACATTTGAAAGATTATATACAAGTTGATTTCATTCCAGGAAAGCACAGATGATTCAACATATCATCCTTGGTGAATGTAGTATAGTAAATGACCAGAATCAAGGACAAAAAAAAAATCACATGATTCTAAGGAAAGGGTGTAGGGGATGAATATGGTGGAAATACTAAGTACTCATGTATGAAAATGGAAAAAATGAGACCTGTTGAAACAATTCAAGGAACGGGCAAGAGGTGGATAAAGGAGAAACATGGAGGGGGTGAATTCATCTATGATATATTGCAAGAACTTTGGTAAATGTCATAACATATCCCAAGTACGCAACAATTTTAAAAACCTACAAAAATGATTACCAAACTATCACATCTCAATTGATAATAGAAAAGAGCCATGGCAAAACTGAACATCCTTTCTGAGAAAGTAGGAATAGAAGGCACATACCTCAATGAAATAAAGGCTATGCATTAAAAACCTATAGCCAACATTATACTAAGTGGGGAAAAACCATTTCCTCTAAAGTTAGGAATGGGACAAGGGTGTCCTCTCTCTCCACTCTTATTCAATATAGTTGCCTGAATTCCTAGCCAGAATAATAAGGCAAGAGAAAGAAAGAAAGGAACACAAACAGGAAAGGATGAAGTCATATTATCCCTACTTGCAGGTGATAGAATCCTATACTTAAGGGGCCCTAAATACTCCACCAAAAAACTCTTAGATATGATAAACACTTTTGGCAAAGTAGCAGGATGCACACAAAAAATCAACATATAAGTATCAGTAGCTTTTCTATATATCAACAATGACCAGGCACAGAAGGAAATCAGGAAAACAATTCCATTCATGATAGCCTCAAAAATAAAATAAAATACCTAAGAATAAACTTAACACATGAAAGACCTTTACAATAAAAACTATAAACATATGTTTTTGAAGGAAACTGAAGAACACACGAGAAGATGGGAAGATCTCTCATGTTCATAAAATGGCAGAATATTGGCATTCTGCAGTCAACACAATCCCCATCAAATTCCCAATGTCATTTTTAACAGAAATACAAAAATCAATACAAAAACTCATATGGAAGCATAAAAGATCCCAAATAGTCAAAGCAATCCTGAGCAAAAAGAGCAATGCTGGAAATATCAGAGTTATGGTAACAAAATACTACAGTACTGGCACAAAAACAGATATGTAGACCAATGGATAGAAGATCCAGAAATATACCCACACACCTACAGCTATCCAATTTTTGACAAAGGAGCTAAAAACATACATTGAAGAAAACTGGATAGCCACAGGCAGAAGACTGAAACTACATACCTATCTCTCACCAGTACAAAAAACAATTCCAAATGCATCAAAGATCTTAATGTTGGACCTGAAACTTTCGAAACTGCCACATACAGGTAAACAGCAAAAACACCTGACAATGTAGGCAAAGGCAGTTACTCTCTGAATAGGACTCCAATTGCTAGGAAAATAAGTGCAAGAACTGACAAGTGGAATTGTATTAAAAAGTTTCTTGGGTTGGCAGAGTGGCTCAAGTAAGGGTTGCCTTGCAAGTGTGAGACCCTGAGTTCAAACCCCAATGCCTCCAAAAAAAAAAAATTCTCCACATCAAAGGAAACAATTACCAGAACCAAAAGACAACCCACAGTATAGGAGAAAATCTTTGCCAGCTGTTCACTAGATAAACAATTAATATCCAGAACATATAAAGAGCTCCAAGCCAGGCACCGGTAGTTCACGCTTATAATCCTACCTACTTGGGAGGCAAGATCAGTAGAATCAAGGTTCTAGGCCAGCCCAGCAAATAGTTCGCCAGACCCCATCTCCAAAATAATCAGAACAAAATAGACCAAAGGTATACTTCAAGCAGTGAAGCACCTGCTTTGTACACATGAAGCCTGAATTCAAATCCCAGTCACACTAAAAACAAACAAACAAAAAAACCTGTTAAAATGGCAAGGCTAGAGAGCAGTTAAGAAAAACTAATGGGGAGATGAATTTGATCAAATACATTATATGCATGTATGCAAATATCACAAACCCCTTTTTACAATTAATTTATGCTAATAAAAATTGAAAAATACTTTTTAAATGCATGGCTTCTTATAACCTATCCTTTGAATAGCATCAGAGAAATAAGCCTAGACTAATTAGTTGAAGTAGCTTCATCTCTTGTACTAAATTCACTTACTACAAACTGAAAGTCTGAAAGCTTTCCCTCTAAGATGAAGAAAAACACAAAGATGTCTACTCACTTCTGTTCAACAACATAGGTTTTTGACCAGGAAAGTTAACAGCACAAAGAAGTAAGAGGCACCCAGACTGGAAAAGTAAACCATCTCTATTTTCAGATGATATATTCTTATATACAGAAATTTCTAAGGGATCCATAAAAAAATCTATTAGAATTAATAAAGGGGTTTGGAAGGTTGCAGGGCACAAGAGCAACATGCAAAAATAAATCTAATGGCACCAAATAAAAGACAATACTAACACTTTCTTCTCATTTCCTCATAATGGAGTAAACCTCGGAAATCCAGAAACTTTATTACCCTGAGGTGATAATCTGCTCAGAAGAGACATTTTGAATACTCCTCTACCAGACTGCCAGACATTCACTGTTGGGTCTTAAAAGGGAAAAGAAAAATGCCAGCTGGTTATGCAGTAACTACATTGGACTCTTTTAGACTCCAGTACCTTAACAGAAGACAAATATGCTCAAGTGCCGTACACGTAGCATGTCAAAGAATAACTGGTGCTATCTTAGGTAGCCTTAAAGAACTTTGTGTTCTTAAAAAGAAATTCACAGTAAAGAAAGATATATTAAAGACTGTCACACACCATGTCCAAGATAAGCTACATACTAGAAATCCTGTAACAGGTAAGCATTATGATCAATAAGAATACATGTAGTGTAGTAGAAAAATATGCATAGACTATGGACAAGTTTGTAAAACATCAATGAAACTAGACTTCTTGGTAGTCAAGAAAATATAAATTAAAACAAAAATCTATTTCTGACTACAAAATTTAAACATTAAGGTAAGAATAAGTGCTGGTAACAAGATAAGAGCACAAGAATTCTCTCACTGCTGTTGAAAGTACAAACTTAACATATCACTTTGGAGAGAAATGTGCTATCTCAAGTTACAGAATATACACCTGAAATTCCATTTTTAGGTATAATTCAAGAATGCCTATCAAATCCTCATCAGGAAGAGTAATAAAGAATGTAGACTTGCAGCACTGTTCAAAATAGCAAAGAATAACTGAAACCTCCCATTAGTGGGAGGATTGGCAAATAAGTTAGTAAATAATTTTGATACTAAACAGCAGTTAAGTGAAAAAGCAAATTTAAAAAGATTATACAGTAGGATAGCACAACTAAAAATTTTTAAACCACTACATGTTATTTATGGATACAAACGTGGCAATGTATAACTGTAAACAGGAAGGACTCACAACAACTTCTGAATAGTAGGGTAACTCTAATGAGAGAAGGAGGAGAATGGCGCCAGGGAGGAGTACAAAAGAGTAGCATTTTTATTTCTTTAAAAATCAGAAGCAAATACGGCAAAATAGTGAAGAGGTACAAGGGCATTTTATATTATTTTTCTTTATACTTCAAATATTTTTAATAAATAAGAATTTTAATGGGCACATATGGTATAACAATCAAATAATAACATTAATTATTCACACTACAAAAATGTATCAAGTAATAACATTAATTATTTAAGCCACAGAAACACTTATATACATCAGAGCATGAGATAAATACGAATCTAAATAAATTTTAAAAATGGCAACTTACATTAGGGTTTTAAATTAGTAATTTTTTAATGGATTTTGAATCTCATGCAATTTTAAAATGTCCTTATGCTAAAATTTTAAGGGTTGCTCTCCTTTTTGTCAGAGTTGTCAATGCTCTCTAAATAAAACTAATTAATGTGATATTATGAATTTCAGTCTAATGCTGGAAAGCTCTTTCTTTAGCATATAAACAGTAACAAGCTTTACAGTTATACTTACAAGTCTTAAAGAAATTATTGAGTCCTAAGTATGAAGAGTAGTTATTTAATTATAACTACTTAATTACAGTGTTTCATCAAGAACTGATGCACTATTACTACTGTGAAAAACAATGCTCTATTATTCCCTTTTCTTTTCTACTTAGGCTTTGGGTCAGAAGCCAAGAAGAACAAATACTGGAAAGGTTACAAACGAAGTTTTATTATAAAACCATTTTTAAAGGAAAAGTGTATCTTTCACAGGGAAGTAAAATAATCCTTTGGGATTACTATGTCAGAGACAGACATAGAGACGATATTTTAAGACAGGGGCTAAGAAGAGGTAGTAGAATTTTTCTATCTGCATTTCACTTTGTCTCTCATCTCAAGGCTAGAAGATAAAAACATTACACAGAAAAAAACAGGGAACAACAGCGGGTAGAACGCTGCATCTACCGTTACAGCTCAGTAAATGTGCAACTCACAGTAGTATCCCACTCTCAGCTACAACCTTCTGACCACATTCGTACTAATCAATAATAATAGTCATGTTACCCAGTTTGTGGCAAGCAATAGTTTTATTTGACATAAGTTGCTTTTTGCCAACTAAACAATTGCAACACCGATGATTAGCTGATCTTTTAAATAGCCTATTAGATATGCTATTTCCAGTAAATGGAAGACTGCAATAAAATTATTTTACGTTCCAAACATCCACACTTTCATACTTCCGGCACAATTTCTAGTGGTAGTAGTACTGTGCAAAGAGCAGTTTTTCACCTACTTGTATACTTCAGTCTGTTACACTTAATTTTATTTACCACTAAAATCCTTAGCTTTCATTTCTGAAGGCTGAATATCAATTAGCTGCCCAAATCCCTTACTTATAGTGTAACTACGGCCAGTAAGAAAAGCAAAATTTGCTTACAAAATTGAAAGTCTCCTACAACACTTTTAAATGTTGGTTTTCCACCAATTTTAAGTTTCAGTAATATTTATTTCTTCCTTCTCAACAGAGGGATAAACTTCACTTTGCCTCACAAATGAAATAATCAAATTACTATTTCTCTCAAATTCCTACCCTCAGGAGACTCACTCAAACTGAGTAAAAAAGTCATTGACAAATTTACAATTCAAATTTCACTAATACATAGAAATAATTCTTCCCAAGCAAAAGGTCAGTGGCATGAATTTAATTTTCTAAATTTCATAATCCTTGATAAATAGAGGCACCTTAAAGTTCAGTTTACATTCTTTCAATACAGGATTTTAGAGCATGCTTCAAATAGCTTAAGATAAGCCATATTAATAGCTTAGTGCCATTTTTTTCATTAAAATAATCTACAAAAATCAGACTACTACTTATTTTGTTGTCATAACTAATAAATAAGTCTTAAAATATCTGTAGATGTAAATCAGCTCTGAATTCATTTTGCCTCACACTTGGGCTATTCTACAACAGATGAACAAACTCAATGGGTTTATAAGTTATAATACAGATGTGTGAACGTTTTCACAAATTTCAGTTCTATAATTTAGGGTATTTTTCACATTTATTTTTAAATTTACAAAGAGATTAAAGCATTAATATAAATATTCTCTCAAATATGTAATTTTTTTGTAAAAGAAAAAATCTGCAAACTTTACACTTATAAAGTAATCTAAATATAGATAAACCTGATTTTAGGATCACTACATTAACCAAAATAATTTTTCAGAGAAGGTCCTATTTAAAAGTAATGCTCACTGGCTTCCTCACATCAACACATTAAGATGGATCCAAAACCAATGCCTTTGCCTGATTTACTTCAGGGATGACTTCCAATGAAAAAAATCTCAGAAGAAGGTCTCACGACAGAGTGGACAAGTGGATTTGTTGCTAGATGTAAACCATTTATACTGAAAAAGAAAAGGTTTTAAATGTTAAGTTTGTAAAGCTGTCATCTCACTTGCATACATCTAAAGTAGCCTTCAACTGATACAGTGAAAGGGGAGAATTTTAAAAATTTTGCCTCCCTGTATGTCTCCAAAATCAACACAATGAATATTACTGATTCTTTCTATGTAGGCTCATGCACAAAACCACCAAGACATAAAAAAGAGCTCCTGTGAACAAGTGAACACAGGGGAACTTCCATTTCAATATAATGTTTAGAAAGAAAAGTGGCTCTGATGCCAAATAGCCTTAGTCTCAAATCTTATAGCCTCCTATATGATCTCAATCTCAGAGGTCCATGTATTTCTTCAGTGCTGACAGCTCTATTAGAAGCATCCTTTTATTAAAGCACTGTGATGCAACCAGTCTCAGTAAATTACTATCCTTTGTTTCATGTTAACTACCAGTAAGAGTCTAGCACATTATTTTCTTTTCCTAAGTTAAATAACATGTACATACACATGCACACACACACATATACAAAATAAGTATCAGTAAATTAAATTCTCTTTAGACTTACCAAGCAGGCCGAATGGAACTTTTTCTTGCACGTTCTACAGGCTTTTTTAGGAAGAGAATAGTTGAAACCATGGATGACTGAAAAACAGATCATGCAATCTTCAACACCCTCAAAACGTTTGTCTACATTGTTTTTCCATAATGCTAAGCCTTCCATAATACTTCCATTCTGTCAGAGAGAGAGAGAGAGAGAGAGAGAGAGAGAGAGAGAGAGAATTACTATACACAGAAGACCATCAGAGTTACTTCTGTCCAATTTCACACATTTAAAAGCTGAATTACAATTCTGAAAGAAGCAAATCTGCTTGACTACATATGTGTTGGATTTTTTTAAATAACCTCTGAAGTTTTAGGAACATATATAATTTTCTTCCACTCAAGGCAGACTTTAAAGGCTTCTGAACCAATACTTCAGGTCTTAAATTCACAGCCGGGTGCTGGCTCATGCCTGTAATTCTCACTACTCAAGAGGCAGAGATCAGGAGGATCAAAGTTCGAAGCCAATCTGGGCAGACAGTTTGCGGGAGTCTATCTTGAAAAACACTTCACAAAAAAAAGGCTGATGAAGTGACTCAAGGTGTAGGCCCTGAGTTCAAACCCCAGTACTGATTTAAAAAAAAAAAAAAGTCTTATAAGTCTCAGTTTCTCTCATTAAGCCACATGGCTCATCTCTCCTAATTCTTAATTGAAAATGATGAAATTATCTTACCTTCTCAACTGATCTGTTCCAACTCCAAAACATTGGTAAGTGTACTTAAAATAATTTTCTTTACTATAGAATGCCTGAGATGTATCCCAATGTACAAACTGAACTAGAGGGGATTTATAATTTGTTTAAAGCTCAAAGGTTTTTCAGGGTACTAGAATTTTTCTACCCAAAGGAAAGCTGAAATATAAGAGTAAAAAGTAGCTCAGAAAGCATTTATTAATCTAATCTCTATCAGAAGACTTTCCTTAATTATCCAAACAATTTTTTGATGCCCAGTATTACCCTGCATTTTTTACACTGTCAATGAAATAGCCAATTCTCCTCAAATACCAGAAAACAAATTACAAAGTCTCAAAAATGAAAGCAGAGGTGGTAAGTTCAAGCCATTTGAGCATATATACTGTGTTTATCCAAGAATTTTAGATATATGTATTTCCATCTTAAGCAGAAGGGATATATTGTGTCAAAGTGCTCTTTCAAGTGGATCATGTCTCTAGTATGTAAGCAAAAACATACCTGGTGGGTGAGGTAAGTGCTTAACTGCAGCATCCAGTTCCTCCACTGCTGAACAGCCACCCCAACTCTTTTCCCACTTTCCACTGTTATTGAACCCAGCGGATAATTTGAAGGCAACTGTATTATAAGTTCAATGACTATGTCCTCAATCGTGTAAGTAGCCATTACTTCTCGAGTGGTAGCTCGAGCTTTAACCTATAACACAAGAAAGGTCATTTCTTTTTCTAAATTCCTTTCTGTCATTTAAAAACATTTTGATAGGTTGACTGTTAGCAGCAGGTAAACAAATTCATTTATCTAACAAGGCTTATTTAATAAGTAGATTTAAGACACTGGCATGCCGGGCAAAATAGTTCACAAGACCCTATCTCCAAAAAGACTCAACACAAAAAAGGCTAGTGGAGTGGCTCAAGTGGTAGAGGACTGCCTAGCAAGCATGATGCCTGGAGTTCAAATTCTAATACTGCCAAAAAAAAGACCCTGGCAGGTCTTATAGTGATTTTATGACATTAAGATTCAAATTTGTCTTAAAAGAAATATCCTGCTAATAAAAAGTAAATTTTATTAGGTTTGTCACAAAGAATTTTTGAACAAGTGACACCCACATTACCCCACAGTATTAAATATTACTTCTATGTCCATGTCTGTTTCAATACAGAAGAATCAGAAAATATGGTAGGAAAACTTGTATAAATTCTGAATCAAGAATTACAATTTTATGATGATACTGACAATGACAGATATAACCAATATCCAAACCAGTTTTCTAGAAAAAGTTAAGACAATACTAACCGTCATGCCATTAAATAGTTGTGTACTTGTTTGCACAGAAGATATTTCTTGAAAAGAAAGAACACTGCTGACATACTTGCTTGTAAATCTATCCACGATATTGAAAACACGCTTCTCACTGCTATTCCACCACAGCCTAACCATGGCAGGCAAGTCTTTTAATGTCATGTGATAGACTGAACAGGCCAAGTGTGGAATATGATATGGAAGAGTTGATGTTTCTGAGGAAAAAACAAATTCTAGTTGGCAATATATACTTCTTACATAAAATAGCACTGTCAATGAAATAGCCAAAAACTGTTTTACTTAGAAAGTCATCCTTAATCACTCAACAGTGCTGTAGCTCATAAAACAAATAATGAAGAAACCTGAACTCTAGTGCATTAGCATCCTCCCACACGTTCAATATAAACCATAGAATGTAAAAGCAGGAAAAAAGTGAAAATCTCAACTGACACTGAATGATGTACCTAGAAATAACATCCTGTATTTCACAGGAAAGACTATAAAATGGAACACTCATATTTTGTAAAGGAAAAAAATTAAAGATTCTGTTTTGTTATAAATTATGAAAAGAAGTTTGGTCTTTACTTTCTCCAGAGCTCACTGAGCTGCTGTGCAAAAGTTCTAGAATAATCACCTCAATGTTTACAAAACACAATTCATCCTTGGATCTCTAAGATATTTAAAAAACTTCTATTCTTAGTAAAGCTAGATGCATGTACACCTATGCACTTAGCTAAAATGTGAGCTCTGGAGTAAAGGGTAAAATTTTACCCATCTTTGTTTCCCTAACAGAAAACTACATATTTACCTGCCTACAAAATGTTAGCACTTAACAACTTGTTTATAGAGTATAAGATAACAATCTCAACACACTAAGCTACAAAAATTTATTAAATTCTTTACCACCTTATCCATGAGATCTACTTACTTGCCCTATTTAGAGAAATTTGGAAAATCTTCCATTTTGATATTGTCATTAGCTGGATCTCACATTTGCAGTTATTCTGTACACCCCCATGGAGAAGTGTAGTACAACCAGTCTGAACTGAGTCTCCAGGAAAGGACACAAACATTTATCTCACTGACCTCTAATGCTCAGTTGGAGCTCCTCAGTAAAGAATGTTTTAGGGTCCTTATTTGAGACCTCAATAGCTGTTTCTCCATAGGTTGGATTTTCAGGCATAAGTCGGAACAGGTGATAGAGTAGTTTATTCAAACTCTTTGTCTTCCGAAGGTACATTGAATACAGAGCCCGAAGCTGGTGGAGAGCAAAGAATTTGTTAGTAAACTCAATTAAACTAAGACAATCAGCAGAAAATTCAAACTCTAATAAACTGTATAAGAACATAATTTAAAATGTATTAATCTTAACACACAGACTTACATGGAAGAAAGCTAGGGATGCAGCTCTGTGGTAGAATGCTTACTTATTAGCAAGGCCCTAGGTTAAGTGCTATAAAATATATGCCACATCCTTGCCTTCCAAATGTGCCAGGTGATGTATCACTGCTTCCTTTCCTCATAAACTAGAAGACATTCTTACTATCCCCTCCTTTATTATTACAAATATGCTTCTAACATCTTTCTCAAATTGTCTCCCTATTAATATGCTTACCTTGGGTTGGAGTTTCTATTTCAGCCAAAGAAATCTATTTGGCCATTCCCCACAGATGACTCACTCCTTTCTCCTCCCACAGCTTCCACACATTCCTTCCACTCTATAGTCCTTAATCTCACAAATTTTTGAGTAAAACTAATCCCATTTTCATGGTTAACCTCAACCTCTGTCGAATGCTTCAATATCCTTTTAGAACTGAAAGCTCAAGTGAGTAATCCACAATGTCTTGGGGTCTCTTCAGTTGTTTTATCAATCAAGAAATTTAATATTAAAACATGGATTTCTGGTTTCTCCTTTAAAAACAGGAAAATCTGGCACCAGTAGAAGCACCATAGGCATCATGTGATACTCATACTTTACAAGTCCTTCTGGTCTGTCAATAACATAGTCTGCATTTTTTCACATTTACTTTGTGGTGCTTTGGAATTTGCACCTGTTTTAACATGAATTCTTCTACTATGCCATACAGCTTATAGTACAAACACACCATTTTCTGAACACAATACTACTCAAATACAAGAATCAAGCTACAGGATTTGGAACATTCTTAAGATATGCCGAATAATGTACGTTTATAGTGGAGAAATCTAGGGTCACTACCTTTACTGAGTAATCAAGTTTAATATCACAAATAAAAGGGCAAACTGACATATACTTTCTGTGGTAATACCATGAGGACATGTCATAACTTGTGCAGTAAGTACTCCTACTGAAAACTGACCTGAATCTAAAGAGGAGAAAGCAAATAAATCTAAATTATGTGAAGGGTATAAAACAGCTGGCCAAAACAATAAGAAATAAATGAAAGGTAAGAGAATTATAAATTACAGAAACTCAAGTAATACGACAAACAAATGCAAACATCATTCTTGATTAAACACTTAATAGAAAGGAAAATAAAACAAGTGATTTTACCTAGGCAAGTAGTAAAATCTAAATATAAACTAGATAATATTAGTGCATTAAAATTAGGTTTCCTGGGCTGGCAGAGTTTAAGCAATAAAGTGCTTGCCTAGCAAGCATGAGGCCCTGAGTTCAAACCCCAATGCCACCAAAATAAATAAATAAATAAGGTTTCTTGAGTAGAATTATATTTTACTTATATAGACACATGTCCTTATTCTTAGGTGATAAATGAGTAAATACTTTGGCAAAGTATCCCGATGTCTGCAACATTCAAGTAGACAGGGGAAAAAAGTAAATATAGAGAAAACATAAGCAAACTGAGGAATACATTAAAATTTATAAATCTAGAAAGGTATACTACTTTTCACTAATTATTCTTTCAACTTCTCTGTACAATTTTTTTCAAAATAAAAAGTTGGAGAGAGAAAGGAAGATTAAAAAAAAAAAAAAAAAAAACCTCACCAGCTCTATCCATGGGCTTTTAAAAAACATCTTAGTATAACCCAGAAATCCCATTCTTAGGTACACAACACTAGAGAAATAGAAACTTGTTATAATCATTCACAGCAGCTTTATTTACAATAGGCCAAAGTGAAAACAACTTAGATGTCCAACAACAGATGAACAAAGTGCAGGATATCCACAGGATGGCAAATTTTTCAGACATAAAACGAATTTCAGTACTGATAATAACACTACACTGATGAGTGTTGAAAATATGCTGAGTGAAATAAACCAGATGCAAATGACCATATATATAAAGCAAACAGAATAGGCAAACCCATAGAGACAAACACAGATTAGTGCTTGCCAGAAAATGTGCTGTAAGCAGAAATGAACCAAGTGTGGTGGTACATACGTATAATCCCAGCACCTGGGTGTCTGATACAGGAAGATGGACAGTTTGAGGCCACCCTGGGCTACATAACAAGATCCCATCTCCAACAAAACAAAAAACAAAAAATAAGGAAATGGGAAATGATTGCTAATAGGCACAGATTGGTTTTGAGGATGGTGGATGTCTTAAACAATGGAAATAGTTGTGTAACTCTACACTAAAAACACTAAACTGTATACTTTTTTCCAGAAGTTAAGACAATCCATGAATGATTTGGTACCAATTAAGATTTTTTTTAATTCTCAATTTATTTCAGGATTCATCTAATTAGTAGATTATTTTGGTTTATCTTGCACTACTCAATTCAAATTTCAGGCTCAATAATAAACGCTGCCATACATAACCCTTTGCCCCCATCCTGAAAATGATGGCACATAGCTATGTTCCTAATTTCTGAATATAAGATGACACAATTCTTGTACACTAGAAGCCTCAAACTGCTGAAACTTTTTAAGAGATCAACAATATTTTAAGAAATGAATATAAAAGTACAAGAAGGAGCTCTTGAAATACATCATCAGAAAATAAAACAAGCTTAAATCACAATGTAAGTGACAGGCCTACAGAGAAATAAAACCAATTTATTTAGCAACTAGATCACTGTTGCCTCTGCAATTTGATTTTCACTTCGAATATATAAATGCAAAGATGCAAACTGTTAGATTTGTGTCAAGGTCTGGGTATAAGCAGCAAAGAATTCTGAAAGATCAAGCCAGATGTGGTGGCTCTTAACTATAATCCCAGCACTCACAACGCAGAGGCAGGAGGATTGTAAATTTAAGACCAGTGTGCCCTACATAGAAAGAAAGAAAGAAAGAAAAGAGCAGATCTTTCCAGTTTCTTCCTGGACAATGAGGTCTTCCTTCTGAAACATGAGGAAACAGAGACATCTAGTGGCTGGGCAAAATAATTATATTTTCACCACTTAGAGATTAATACTTGGAATTACATAGGTAATCTTTCTCTGAATACTGACTGCTATATCAACTGAAAACTCTACAACATTCAGAAGTTGCCCTCCCTGAAATGCATAATCTACTAGGGTAGTATAAAATTAAATTATGTAAGTATTCCTTTCCTCAAAAAAAAGGACTGAGTGATTATACTCAAAAAAATTGATGCTACCATATTTCAGAGATTATGACTCTTGGGGGAAAAATGTGTATTTGGAGGAATGATGAAGTAGTAACAAACTAATAGCAGAATGTCTGAAGTTGTTTGGATAAGATTAGATTAAAATGGAAGGCATTTCTCCTTTGAGTCAAAAAGAGGTAAGAAAGGTGTTTAGAACAGTAACAGAAACATTTGGGACAGAAGTTGTCACTGGGTTTGATCCCTAGCATTGTTTTAAAAAAAAAAAAAGAAGAGAAAAGACACAAATTTATTTACCTGAGATGAAGCAGCTTTGAAGAAAGTTAGTATTAATTTCCAAGTGAGGAGGTATCCCAGAACATAACAGAAGTCTTCACTCAGTGGCTTAATAGTAACTATCTGTCCAACAGGAATACACCCCAAGACATTTTCTAGTAAGTCCTCTTGAGTGGTAAGAACAGACATCAGTGCCACTGGTGGTGACCTAAAAATCAGTGATTACATGTCACAACTTTCTTCATAACTTGTCTATTAACACATTAACAGTATTTATGAACTTAGAGCATTCTAGAAAAACCTTTGTTTTCCAAAAACGTTTTAAAATGTTCCCCTTAATATTCAATTTGAACTCATTTCATGACTATAGAATATCAAAGACATGCTATAAAAATATGAACCTAGATGTTAGCACTGGAAGACACTTCTAGAAAACATCTATTTCAACTTTCTGTTCTATAAATAAAAGTCACACAGCCAGGGAAGCTAAATGATTTGTCCAAAAGCTAGTCAGGGAACTGTCTTACCAGGCCCTTGATCATCTTATAAAGGGAAAAAACAGGATTTAAGACTTCGTCTTTCTCACTACATCTTACATTCTATTTTAGTGCATACTCTCTACTCAGCACTATAAAAGATGTAATAATCATCATAATTTATCAAAAGGATAACCTTCTAATCATAAGACTATTATCTCCTCTCAGGAAATTTAACATTCACATTAATTCACAAGTTAATTTTCTTCTTTATTGTACTACTTAATCCATGAACACTTTCAGGTAAACTTACAAGATTCTTTCAAATTCTCCTCTTTATGATGCTCTAACTTTTATTGTCTCTCTTTTGCCTCGGTGGCCTTTTTACTTAGTTGTGGATTCCTTCTCCAAGCCCATAAACACAGGCCTGTAATTCTAGCTACTCTGGAGGCAAAGCTCATGAGGATCCAAGGACAGCCTAGGCAAAAAATCTGAGAGATCCGCATCTCATCCAATGGCTAGGCACAGTGGTGTGCACCTGTCATTCCATTTACATGGGAAAGCACAGATAGGATGATTGTGGTGTAGGCCAGCCTGGATATAAAGTGAGACCTCATCTCAAAAATAACACAAAAAGGGCTGGTGAAGTGGTCAAGTGGTAGCACTCCCACCTAGCAAATACAAGACCCTAGATTCTGCAGCCCCCCAAAAAAATACTTTGCACAAAGTGAGCACTCAATAGATATTTGAACTGATACATTCTTTCCACAGACAACATGTGGCCATGGAAAGTTTTACTGAACAATAGCAAACCTAAAATGTAATTTAGGATTAAGAGAAAATCTTTTGAGTAAGTGCCAGATTTCATTTATAGCCCACAAATAACTTTAAAAGGGACTGAATTCATAGCCTAATTTTACGACTTTTGTGTTGCTTCATGAAGTGGATTATGAGAATTTAGTAAGCCCAATTTTATGCATATATAAACTTACAAAGCTGGTTCTTCTTCTTCATCTCCATATGATTTTAGATTATCCTGATCATATTGTGGTAATTCAGGCATCAATCTGGAAGCAAGAATTCATTTATTACATCATTTTAAGAGCAGAATGATTAATAGACATTTTGTAAATAGTGTTATCTTAATGATTCTTTTCAAAAATAACTACCTAGAGCCAGGACTACCTCTAATACAAATTGTATAAGGATAAAAATGACTTAAAAATTCAAATAGTTTGGTATCCCTGTTACTAACATATACAGTCTGATCTCCTTTTCTTTCTGTTTCTGCAGCACTGGAGTTTGAACTCGGGGTCTTGTGCTTGCTAGGCAAGCACTCTACCACTTGAGCCACACCCCAACCTCTCCCTTTCATTTTTGATTTGACTTTTCTTTTTATTCGTTTATTCAGATGTGCATACATTGTTTGGGCCATTTCTCCCACCTACCCCCGCACTGTCCCCTCCCTCTGCCCCTCACCCCCCCTCAGCCCCCCCCCATGCCCCCCACCCCCACTCACTTCCAGGCAGAATCTGTTCTGCCCTTATCTCTAATTTTGTTGAAGAGAGCGTATAAATAATAATAAGAAAGACAAAGCATTTTTGCTAGTTGAGATAAGGATAGCTATACAGAGATTCCTAGCATTGCTTCCATGTACAAATGTGTTACATTCTAAGTTGATTCATCTCTAACTGATCTTTTCTCTACTTCCCGATCCCTTTCTCATATTGACCTCTGTCACTTTAAAGTTGCTGTTTTAGTTCCTCTGCAGTGAGGACATCAAATACTATCATGTTTTGGGTTTTTTACCTATCCCCATACCTCCTGTGTGTGCTCTCACCTTATCATGTGACACAATGATCTGACTTTTTTTAAATGGCTAAAGGCAAAAACTAAATTTATATATTCTGTTTTTTTAGATTGCTATAATAGTCATTCAACTGGAGATTTCTTACTTGTAGAGCATATGATAGACAGCAATTTGTACAGGTCTAGCTCTGAAAAGGAGTAATGGGGCCAATGTATTTAGCAAAGTCTGGAGATACTCTGGCAAGTTTGGTTTTTGGCCAGCATCCAATCTTTTGGGAAGTTTGTGACTCAAAAGCTGATCCTTTGAGATATATGTTAATGTTTCACACATGGGCTTCAGCATTGCATTCTGAAAGGATGTTTCAGACATATCTTTATTTTCTCCTGATAACAAAGAAAAGAAACATACATATTTCAAAAGAAAGTTAATGATATAGCTTGACTGATTCACAAATATCATTTAAGAAAGTGAAATGAAAAGTAGACATAAACCCTACAGAAATCTGAACTAGAAACATGAATTCATATATTCAGTTAATCTCAACTATTTGAATGACTATTACCACATCCTTTAAAAAAGAAAGCAAATGTCCAACAGAGAGGTTCTGTTCATGTAATTTATCCATATTACTTGAGTTACTGTTATTTTAATTTGTAGTGGTCTTGGGATACCATGCGTTTTGTGCTGTACCATAAAGCAACAGCATATGGGATGCTTCTGCGAAACCAAGCATTCCGTACTAGCTCTTTTCTTTCACTACACAGTATTATTTTATTTAAACATTACAAATTTTTGCCTTAAATTTTTCAACAAGTCATTTTCCATGAATCTCATTATTATGTATGCCCTTTTCTACTTGCCTGTAAAGGTCACCAAAAGAGGTAAAAACAAACTGTGGATGCCTTGGGAAAAAAATTCTTTCCATTCACTGATTAGATTTGCAGGAAGATTGCCAACAGTATCCTGAGTTGCTGAATCAAAAAAAGCACTTAGGTCACAGGCCAAGTCACAGCTGACACAGGCAAATAGTTGTATGAGTGGAACAGAAAACAGTGCCTGATTCTCATTTGTTGTCTAAAGAAATAGAAATGAAACAGGTAAGCATGTTTCTACAAGAACACTTCAAGTAAAGACAGTAATGAGAGGTCCCTCTTTCAGTTCTCTGAATTTAAAAATTAAAAACAAACAGTTGCAAAATGAAACAACTTTCTTCAAAACTAAATATTAGAAATAATAACTAGAAAACAATTTATTGTGAAATGTCCTTTTTAATTTCTAAATTATGAAAGGTATTATCATCTACTAAATTTACTCAATACAATATAGTAAGTACATATATCTGATCACCTTGATTCCCTACAAGTTTCTTATTAAGTTATTTTAAAATAAAGAAACAGATGGGGAAGGGGGAGTAAAGAAGAATGATGGAGGGAATCAATTAAACTATGATATACTGTAAGAACTCTTGTAAATGTTACAATGTACCCCCAGCACGATGATAATAATAATGATGATGATGATGATGATAAACTGAGAATAAAATGGGTTAAGCTTAAAATCCTAAGTCACACAGCTAAAATTCAGGCAAAGCAGAAATTCAGACCAATTCAATCCTGACTGTATTGGCTGTCCTGGAGCCCAGGAGTATTACACTTTTATTTACTTTGGGTCATAAAAAGAACACTAAATTCCCTCTACATGTGATTATCTTTCATGCATTACTCTGCCAATATTGACACGGTAGTTTTTTAAAAATACCTATATCCACAAGACCAAAAATCTTCTCATGAATAGATAAGCCTGAAAATACCTGTTGCAAATATTAAATTAAGCTAATGAAAACAAAATTTTAATACCAGTTAGGAGATTTGATGGCACTCATTAAACCCTATCAGTTCCTGGTCTGCCATATAATAACTAGTAGAATATCTATAAAATATTTTTAATATTATCAATGATAGTAACATTTATTGAATATCAGCACATCTTTTTGCATGGCTATTTTAGGCACTGGAGAAGAGAGTAGACATCAAAACAAAGTCCCTAGTCTTGTGGCATTTACATCTTTGATGAAATGCAAAGAAATAAAAGTTCCCAGAAGCAACAAGGACTTGAAGGGAAAAAAAATCAAGAATAGGAAACACTAACTGAGGGTGTGGGAAGTTATGAATAAGTAGAGCTGGCTTGGTCCACGTTCTATTGCTAACATAGCAGACTATGTAAGGTTTAAAGGAGGTTCATTTTGGCTCATGGTTCTTGAGGTCCAAGGTCAAGGAACGACGTATCTGGTGATGGCCTTCATGCTGGCAGAGTCCCAAGGCAGTGCAGAGCACTGCGTGATGAGACAGGAAGCATGTCTATAAAGTATTTTTAAATGTTTGTCTTAAACAGGAACTAATTACAATCATTATTTAAAGAAAAAAAATAACTAAATAGTAGTGGTTTACAGGCACAAAGACCCAACAGAGGTGACATATCAGCTTAATTTACCTCCAACCAAGCCAACATGGAACACATGATGAAGTCCCATTCACTCTCTGCCAAAGGAGATGAGCAGTATTTGAGAAACAGAGAAAGAAACCGGATTATTTCTATGTTTACACCCAGTACCTCTGGACTTGCTTCTGATAGATTACTGTGATAAAGACAAAAAGAAAGAAAGAAAAATCAAGAACTATTGAGGAATTTTTACTAACAGTTAATAAGAAATTTTTTTTTCTGGGGTTTGAACTCAAGGTTTTATGTTTGCAAAGCAGGTGCTCTACCACTTGAACACCTTCAGTCCATTTTACTCTGGTTATTTTGGAGATGGGGTCTCACATACTATTTGCCCAGGATATATTCAAACTGTGATCCTCCTGATCTCAGCTTCCCCAAGCAGCTAGGAATACAGACCTCAGACACTGGCACCCGGCTTAGAAAATACTCCATTTTCAATCATATACCATGACTGAAATATCTACCATGCTATTACTCTACAAAATTGTGACTATATACCATGCGTAACGCAGGTCCACATTTTATATGGTAGGGGAAATAAAGACAAAAGTATTACCTACCAACTGAAAAGAAAAATATCTTCATGCTCTTTCTTCCAAGATATTATAATTTTTAGTATACCATGTAATAGCTCTCCATCATCTATGCTTCGGGTTTGCAGACAGGAATTAAAAATGGCAAGATGTCCAAATCCTCCTAAAGTAAAATTCAATGTGAAAATTTTAAATTATAGTTCTACTATAAAAATATACTTCAAAAAGCCAAAAACCTTTGAGAAGTGCCCAAGTTTAAGAACACTAAAGAAAGTTTATGTAAGAGTTAACAAATGAATTTAACTCCACTTTTAGAAGTCTTACCAGATCTCAAAGTCCATCTTCTGGTGCATCCTAACAACCTCTGTCTCACAATCTTCCACCTCAAATGCCAGTCAAACTCAGTTATCTGCACCCTCCCATGAATCTACATACTGACAATGCTCTTCTCCAACTGCATTCACATGTAAAATAACAACCTCCAACACTTAGATGAAATATTTCTTTTTTGTGAAATTGCCATTGACACTTTTGAGAAGAAATTCCTTCCTTTCTGACATTCCCACAATAGCACATTGTTTTGCTACATCAGTTATACTATAACTTTACGTCTGTCGTCTCTAACATAGGAATTGCCATATAGCAGATGTTTGTGCTTATTAAATTAAAAACTAAATGATTAGAATGAAGACAGTTCAAAAAAGTTTCAAATACTACACAAGCTGTTCCCTTCTTTGTCTTTACATACTTAAGTAAGCATTGGTTGATTTGAGACATAGCTTTAAAAAAGCTATAGGTGGAGGGTTGGGGATAGAGCTCAGTGGTAGAGTGCTTGGCTAGCATGAGTGAGGCAAAAAAAATTATAGATGGAAAAGAAACATCAGAAAATATCGTGGATATAAATCTACACTTAAGGGAGGAGCATTTCTATACTACAAAATAACAGCCACTCTTCCAGAGACATTGACACTAGTGAGTGTCAACTTTTTTGGTAATAAAACTATACAGCAGGAACAAATTAGCTGTAATTCAGTTTATCTCTGCTATATGTGGTTTTACACAGTAACAAAAACTTCTTTCATCTCAAGCAGTTATTAATGAAATATTTATTACCAGGCAACTAACCATTAGTACCGCAAAGGTCTTCCTTAGTCCAGCCCAGAAGAGCAGGTATACATTGAGCACTGAATTCTTTCTTTTCTTCTTTTGACAAAAATGGACAGAGACTTTGAATAGTATGCAAATTACCTTCTGTTAGTGGAAAGAAACTGTTTAAAGAAAAATATGAATATTTATTCTATATGTGCAGTAATTTTACAAAATACTTCTTATTCTGTCTATTCAAAAGAACTAATAATTTCATTATATAAAATACTTGTACAGAGAAACAAAAGAAACCATGACAATTTCTGATTCTGGATAGTGAAATTACAAACACATTTTTTGCTTTTCTGAATATTTCTAATTTTTGAAATAAGCATATGTGTTATGATTTTTTTTTTAATAATACAAGTGGACCAGGAGTATAGCTCAGTGCTTGCTCAACATGCATGAGGCTCTGGGTTTGACTGAGGAAAAACAATGTATTATACTAGCAAAACATGATTATGTACTCTTAAAGAGTCAATTGAGCTGGTGGAGTGGCACAAGTTGTAAGAGCACCTGTCTAAGAAGCGTGAGGCCTTGAGTTCAAACACCAGGGCCAACCAAAAAAAAAAATTTTTTTTTTAATTACTTTCAAGAGTCAATTGATGAGTCAAGTACCAGTGGCTCACACCTGTAATCCTATATACTCAGAGGCAGAGATCAGGAGGATCACAGTTCAAAGCCAGGTTGTGCAAAAAGTTCTCAAGACCCTATCTAGAAAATACCCAACTCAAAAAACAGGGCTGGTGGATTTGCTAAAGTGGTAGAGCACCTGCCTGGCAAGCGTGAGACCCTGAGTTCAAGCCCCATACCACGAAAAAAGAGAGAGAGAAATTTTAAAGAGTACCAGCTGTGTGTCCTTTCTCTGAACTGATACTTATATATGTACATACATAGTTGGGTTTTTTTTGTTGTTGTTTAAATGGGATCAAGCTAAATTTACCATTCCAATTATTTGCCACTTACACATTTTGTAGATCTGTTTATATTAGAAGATATTAGGTATAAATTATTTTATTTTAAAGCTAAATAATGAAAACAAAGCATAACACTCTATACTATGGATTTTTATAATTTAACATAATTTCTCTATTATGGATACCTAAGTTCTTTCCCCAAAGTTTTTGCTCTTTAAAAAAAATAATGTCCTGGAGCAGATATTATTCTGAATATGTACCAATATCTCTTTAGGCTAGGTTCCTAGAAATGGAATGCAAACTCAAAAGATCTGAATGCATTATATTTTGATAATTTTTTTTGAGAAAGCATAATGAATTCATGCTTCCACTAAAAATGCACAAATGTGACTGCTTTCCTGCACACTTAATGAATATTTTAATTTATGACAATATGGTAGATAAAATGTGCTGCTTTTAATTTGTGCTTCTGCAATTATTAATAAGGCCATATTCCACAGTCCATGACTGAATTACCTTTGCTCATTTCATTTACAATCAAGTTCTTATCACGCTTTTCAATTTAGATGTTTTTACTGATCCATATAAACTATTTACCCACTACAGAAAATAATTAATTTGCAAATGTCTTTTTCCATTGTTTCATCCCTGAAATCATTTACTTTTGTCATGTTTTCATTTAAAAAATATTTTTAATTTTTGTGAAAAAATACACATAATATAAAACTTCTATTTGATCACTTTTAAATTCAGAGATTTCAAAAGTCTATTTACCTAGTTGTATAACTAATCTACATAACTTGTCTCATTTCACAGAACTGAAACTCCACTCACTAAGTAAGAATTCCCCATTACCCCTTCCAGCCCGACAACCCCAATTCTACTTCCTGTCCTGTAAATTTGACTACTCAGTTTCTGGACTCTTGGGTACTTGTCATTTTATGACTGACTGATTCACTCTCTATAATGTCCTCAAGGTTCATCCATATGGTAGCATGTCAGAATTTCTTTTCTGTTTAAAGCTGAATCATATCCCATACCTCATTTTTGTCTAACCATTCATCCACCGATGAGCACTTAGGTTGTAAGAAGTTTTCACTTTGATAAAATGAAATATTTAACTTTTTCTTTATGGATTCTAAATTCTGTGATTTAAGCTCTTGCCCATGTCAAGATTACACAGTCTAGACTGGCACCAGTGGCTCACACCTGTAATCCTAGCTCCTTGGGAATCTGACATCAGGAGAATCATAGTTTGAGGCCAGCCCAACAAAGAGTTCTCAAGACTCCATCTCCAAAGTAATCCGAGCAAAATGAACTGGAGGTGTGGCTCAAGAAGGAGAGGACCTGCTTTACAAGCATGAAACCGTGAGATGAAACTCCAGTCCTACCAAAAAAAGGATTATACACAGTCTCTTGTTGCCATTAATACTTTTATAAATCCATTCTTCACATTTATCTTTTATCTGAACTTTGTTTTTAATGTATAATATACATGTAAAGAGTCTCATTATATTTTTTACTACAAATCCAATTTTCCTGCCATCATTTAGTACTGATTCACTTCATTGATTTGAAATACTGCCTGTATCAAAACACACAAACACATACACATGACTGGCTTTGGGACTCTACATGTGAATCTACTGATTTTTTAATTCCACATGCTAATTGCTAGAATTTAATAACATACCTTATATTTAGTAGGGTCAATTCCCTTTCGCATATTTCTTTCAAAACTTTCCTTGCTACTCCTGAGCACTTTTTCCTTCAAAAGTATACTATGTTTAGAACATTTTATCAAATTTTTTAAAAAGTGTTGTTGAAAATAAGATTACAATAAAATCAGGTTGATACAACTATTTTTACAATTTATATTTTCATCTTCTTTAATGATCTTTTTATTTATTTATTTATTTGCAGTACCAAGGCTTGAACTCAGGGCCTACACCTTGAGCCACTCCACCAGCCCTTTTTTGTATTAGGTATTTTTGAAATGGGGTATTGTGAACTTACTTGCCCAGGCTGGCTTCAAACCACGATCTTCTTGATCTCTGCCTCCTGAGTAGCTAGGATTACAGGTGCGAGCCACTAGTGCCTGGCTTCTTTTATGATCTTTATTAAAGTTTTATACTTGTAATTTTGGTTAAATTTATGTCTGGGTATGTATAGCTTTGTAGCCATTGTGAATGAAAGCTCTACTCCCACTCCATTTCTAGATTGTTTATTACTGGTGAATAAAAAGCTATTGAATTTTCTAGTCAAGTATATATCCATCTAATTAGTAATTAGTTCTAATAACTCTTAGTTCTCTATTACTTCTGTAACCAGAAAAAAAATACAATAAAAAAGCCAAAATTACAACATAGACTTATCATTCAGCATTCCTCTTGATAAATCAGCACATTTAAAACGTTATCAGTAAATCTCAGCCAAATGCTAATTTGAATGCTGAGCCTCAACAGCACATCCAACCTCACAAAGTACTTCTCTGTTTTAACACATTTACTGTGTTCCAGAGAAGTAACTGTCCCTATTACTCTCAAATAGCTAATAAAGTGAAGGAAGAAGAGGCTATTTATTTAAACTAAGTATAAAATTCCATAAATGTCATAAAGTTAAAAATGTTTCCTTAAAAAAAAGGTGTGTTTACTTATTTCCTATATTTAATTTCCTCATTTTTTTAAACTTTATTTTCTTGATTTATTAGATTGTTCATTAATTGGGGATTGCTAAATTGAGCAATTACAATAAATTGTAAAATAAAAACGTTTTAATTGAGGATACCTTTCTTTTCTTTTATAATGTGGTTTTACTTCATCAGATGAAATGCTTCGGGAAAGGATCAATTTAGCAATAATGAGAGACCAAAGTGTGCCATTTTCCCTGGATCTAAAAAAGAAAAAACATTATATTGGATTGTGAAACTGTTCTTAATAAGATCTTTAAACTCTGACTGCTCAGATTCCTTGTCCAGAACTAAATGAACCACTTTATGAGGGCATCAATTCACCTAAAACTTTGTACCCAAGGAACCACCACTTATTACTCAACAAATTGGGAGTTTAGACTTTCAGTTGTTCTCTACAGCCACACCTGAGCTCTCATCCCAAGGCAATAATTCCAGTGCCCCTTGTGTCCCAAAAGAAGAGATGATCTTACAGATTAGTCATGAAGATCACATGCTACAACTGAGAAAAGGACATCTCCCAGAGGACAGATGGGCTGATTTAAGGTGAAGAACCAAGGAGTACAAACACCCACTGAGGAAAGTTGGGAGTGTCAAATATGTGATTGGGATTAGACAGGAGGCTTAAGTCCTCTGATACTACAAAACTTGCTCAAAATACTATAGACAACTGATAATTTTTAAGGAAAAAGTAATCTTAAAAAGCTAACCATCTGCCAGATGTGGTGGCTCATGCCTATAATCCCAGCTACTCAGGTAGCAGACAGGGAAGTCATAGTTCAAGGCCAGCCTAGGCAAAAAAGTTAGTGAGGCCCCCATCTCAACAAATCAGCCAGGCATACTAGCATACTACTGTACTCCCAACTATATGGGAGGCACAGATAGGAAAATTGAGGTCCAAGACCAACACTGGGCAAAAACATGAGACCCTTCGTGAATAGTAACTAATGCAAAAAGAGCCGGGCTTGTACTCATGTGGTACAGCACCCTCCTGCCAAGTGCAAGGCCCCAAGTTCAAACTGCAGTACCACAAAAAAAAAAAAAAAGAAAAAACGAAATATCTACCAAAATGTCCACAACAACTGTTTTCTTATCAACCTTCCTCATATAGGGAAGGCGATTCACATTTATGACATTAAGACACATCTACAGGTACAATTAAAGTACAAGTTGAATTTGAAAGCACTGTGGGAGGAAGTCACAGACAACAACTAAGACAATTTCTCCAGGCTTCCATTTTTATCATTGTCATCTGCCTCCTGAATAGGAAGTAGCTCTCATGAATAGGGAGTACTTAGATCATCTCCCAATAAAACATCAGCATAAAGTGGGTGTACCTGCCATAGAAAATAAAGCTATAAACAAGTAAAACAATTTTAAAAACAGAAACTGAAAGTGATTCTTACCTGTTAAATAACAGATGTAAAAGGTTAGAAGTATTACCAAGTGCACATAAGTTATCATAGGTAATGCTCATTTTTTGAAGCATTTCACAAAATCCAGTTAGAAAAATGGGTGGATTGTCTAGCTCTTCACACCACTGCAATGAATAGAGCAATTCTGCAACTAATAAAATGGATAGCACTGAATCATCAAATGTGCATGGTGACCAAACCCTCATATCACTTTCACTTCTCTGCCCCATTTTCTAAACTTGCTGTGCCCACTAATCTCAAAATATCACTCAACCAATTTTCAAATCTGCTGAGATGCTGAAGGATAATGAGGACCGAGATCAGTTGCCTGATATGCACAGTGGCACAGGCCTGTAGTCCCAGCTACTTAGGAGGCTGAGGCAAGAAGACTGAGAATTTGAGCGGCCTGGACAACTTAGTAAGACCTTTCTCGAAACAAAAAAATACCACCTTCTTTCCAAATCTTATTTGGTCTTTTTTCTGATTAGCTAGCTATTATTTTGGCACAACTAGCAAGTTGCATACAGGCAAAACAACTAAGGGATCCAAGATCTGATGTTGAGAACTTTGTGCCAATGTGATTTAGAAAAAAAAAAATGGAAGGCAGTATGAAACCGTAAGAAAGCATGGCCATCAGAAATAGATTGGTCTAGATAAAAATCTGTGTCTTTCTTGAGCTGAACATACACAGTTACCAATTGGGATACTATGACCTACCTCACAGGAGTGTTTTGAGATTAAATAAGCAAGTGTATATCACAAAACCTGGCAATCAAAGGAGTCTAATATGTAACACAGTCATAACTCCCTTTTATAAAACCATGTATAGACAGGATAGTCAGAAGCCTTGAGACCTGGCTCAAAAGCTAATCCTACCTTCACAAGTAACTCTCATCAAGCTAATAAAAACAATAATAGTATTTGACAGCACTGATAAGAAAACTAAATAGTATTGCCAGTTTGTAACCAGCAATTAACAAAAATAAAGTATTACTCTAATTCCCAGTTTTGTGTTTATAGACAGATTCACTCTAAGCGACATCAACTGTAGGTAGTCTTAGCTCCTTGTCCTTCACTAAATGTGTCTGGCTGACCAAAAGAGGTGTTTCAGCTTTCTTCCATAGAGCACACTAGTAACAGTGTTATAGCTGAGGGCTTGCAAGACTGACACAGGATTTGTGCAATTTAATAGCATCTTGTATGTTATACTTACAGTGCTAAGCCATGTCCTAGAAGAAGAAATTTGCTGAGGTCCTAACTGCTCTTGGGATTCAATATTTGAATCTCTATTTGTGAGGAAAACAATTAGAGCACTGTGCATTGAAAAGTGGAGGTTCACAAATCAAGAGAAAACTCAGAAACCATGACCAAAGCCTTACACCCAATTTTTTTTCTGAGGGAGGGGGAGTGTTGGGTGGGGGAAGGTGGGGGTAATGTGACAGAGATTTTGCTTAATCTGATGTTAGACCATCTTGAGTAATACAAAATTATGGTGTGATTTAGTCAGATTACAGCAAGACTTCAGCATTTCTACATCTAACTTGCAATTTAACACTTATCACTTAAATAACCTCAAGTTTCCTATCACTAAAACAGTTAATAGCAAGCTATATATTTTAAACTACAGTATAATCAAAGTTACCTAAAAGTTACATTTATTTGTACATTATGTCTATCTGGTTCATCATATGTACTTACTTATTTTCTCAAGCACATTATTATCTAGGACTATTTTCTTTTTCAGTGCCACTAAGATTATTTTGCTCAATAATGCTGAGGTACACAAATGGCTGGGAAGTGTCTTTGTATCTTGTTCCTGAAAATCTGTTTTGAAACACTCATAATTTAAACTCAATCTTCCCTCTAAAAGAGGTCTGTGTAACCACTGTAAAAAGAACACATAAATTATACACAATATCATTAGATATTCTAAATTATTTACTATCTATGCAGATGTAAAAAATGAACTTATTAGCATATGTAGTTTACTAGCAAAATAAACTAGAAACCAAGAGGTTTGGTTTTGAACTCTAAGAATTATCAACCTATCAACATGACAGAACCAGATCTTATTCACCTTTGTATGTAGAGTTTTATCATCAAACACCCAATATGAGAGTTCAGAGACATAAATGGAAAGCAGTATACTCATTTATTTTGTTTTCTTCCCTAGAAAATAAAAATACTCAATCCTGCATGAAACCCAAACTTCAGAATGAGATTTGCACCTCCAATCTCAAACACACCTGAATAGGAAGAGAATGTCTCATCTTTTCCCACTCGTTGCTGTTTGGCATTACACTTGCAATATAAACTTCCAAAAGACAAGTATCTTCACTTTCTAGAAAAGTATTTAGCAAATCCTCTACAGCAGACAAGAGAACCTGTAGACTGAAAATAAGGCAAAGAATGTAACCATTGGAGTTACACTGTGACTAGTTCAAACATTCTGGTACATGTTAAATACCTTATGAGAAACCTAAACAAAAAAAGATAAAAATAAAAATAGAGGTCAGTAATTCACCCCCTGGTCCTCTAGTTATACAGAGTCAAACTGGGAATTATCAGAATATAAGGGACCTACCTGACCAATTTCAAATTGGAAATTTCTGAACTATTGCTGCCTAATTCAATGAAAAGAGCACAATTATTTGACTTAACTCCTAAATCTCAGATACATTATCTGTTCTCACTTTCACTGTATGGATTTAGGAAGGATATGTGAAATAAAGCTGCAATTAAACACCTTCAAGCAGTGGCTACATGTTCCAAAAATAAATAACCAAAGCAATCAGAATGTGTGGTGTCCAGGAGAGTTTATGGTTAACAATCCATACTAGCCTTGGACACAGAACCGTACCACATTCACCTCATTGACTGACTCCAAATTAGAAGGAAGTCCACAGATAAAACAAATCATTCTTTGATGACAATTACATGAATGATCATTAGAACTACATGATCTTGAAAAAAATCTTTTTGTTTGGAGCTTCTCTTAGCATTTTTACATTAATAAGTGGCTTTTAATAGGCACACTAATCACGGAACCTTTCATTCTTTTATTTATTTATTTTGAGATAAGCTCTTGCTATGTAGCTCATAAATGCCTTGCACTGCATGTAGTCCTCCTGGTTCGGCTTCCCCAGCACTAGAATTATAGGTTTACACCACCATGTCTGGCATGGAATCTTGTTTAATGATGTTTAAGGACAATCATTAAACATAAAAGAGACACTGCAACTGAACACAAAAAAGTTACCTTGTGTTATCCAAAGATGAAGACTGAACTTGGTTCTTCAGCCACAGAGCAGACAAACGTAGGAAGGTACTCTGTTTATATGTACTGCCAGTTTGATGAACCAACAAACTTACACCAGAGAGCCAAGTATTTTTCAGTTTACAGATTAGAAAATCTAAAATCAAGATATCAACAGAAATTTGTAATCTCAATGCATTAATTCTATTTATTTAGCAGCACTGGGGTTTGGACTTGTGGCCTACACCTTGAGCCACTCCATCAGCCGTTTTTATTTGTGTGGTGGGTTTTTTTGAGTTTCAAGAACTATTTGCCCAAGATGGCTTCAAACTGCAATCCTCCTGATCTCTGACTTCTGAGAAGCTAGGATTACAGGCATGAACCACTGGCACCCAGTTTCTCACTGCATTCATTCTAATCAGTACAAAGTATCTGAAAACTCATTGCAGATCTGAGATCTTTAAGAAACCATTTTAAAAAGAAAACACAAAATTAAAATTTAATTGCCAAAGGGTTTACTACAGTACACATGCAATAATACAAGCTAGTTAGCGTCTTATCAATGTAAAATGATAAGATTTTAAAAGTTAATTACCATTTTCAAATAGAGAGGTTAGTATTAAAGAAAGAGTTGGAGGAGGAGGGTTCTCCCTCAACAGTATTTTTTATGTTCCTTTCAATAATAAACCTGAATTAACAAATATGACAATAATATAGTCCTTACAAGACAATCTCAATTTCATCTTGATATATACTAAGACTGAATGATTTTCACTATAATAGATATTATCTTCCTTTTATAAGTAAGGAAACTGAGGCATCAAAACATTAACAAGGGCTGGCAGCACAGCTCAAGTGGTAGAGCACCTGCATAGCAAGTACAAGGCCCTGAGTTCAAACCCCAGTACCACAAAAAGAGGAAATTATTAAAGCTACAGAGTAGAGGGGCACTAAGATTAAGATTTTTAAGTCCTCTATTATGGCCCCTTCCAAGGCTGTTTCTCTGATAGCACGTAAGTACTTCAGACATAATGTCTGTATACATCTTTAACTCGGTTTCTAAAACTGAAAGTGTTAATGACTATAGCTACTTACTCAAAATGCTTTAAGCTTTCAGACACAGTATGATTCAATTAATAAAGCCCCTGTACTTACACTCACTATGAAGGTCAGAGCCGGATATTCCCAACAAAACATTTGAGCAGTAGGCTATTACCTGGCAAGTGTGTTTGTTCTTTGCTCTCAGCACATAACTGAAAGAGAGTTAACAATAAATCTTCAGATGATGGCATTAGCAAGCATCCTTTTGCTGAGCTGAAATAGTTATAGATCACATCACAGATAAAAGACACTGTTGAGTCACTATTTTCAACTTCTGACAATTTCTTTGTTTTGGATAAAGTTTCATGAAGCTTAACAATAATTCTTTCAACATATATTTCTCCAATCACGTAATCTAGAGAAAAAAAGTCCAAACAGATAAAAAATAAATATTAGTAATGTATTTTTAAGTAAATTAGTTTGGATCAGTAACCATGTAGATTTGTTTTTTGTTTGTTTGTAAGTTTGCTTTAAGATGCTTAAATATTAGAAAAAGAAAATTTTATCAACAAATCAATCCGTCTTCTGATACCTAAAAACTCACTAGTAATAAAAGCAGTTTTAAATCAAGTAAAAATCAGCAATGGTCTACAATGTTAAGAGTGGGCAGCTGTTGTATTCCAAACCTTTTAGATATAAAACAAAATTTTAAATATCTTTGAAGTCACAACATAAAGATTGTTATTTGGGGTGCTTATAAAATTAACATTATTTGAATGAGTAAGTCTTAATTATTCTCAATCAATAATATGCAAACTGAGCAGCATGGAATCCCCCCAAAAGTTGAAAATAAAAGCCAGATATTCCCTACCATTTTTAACATGTTGCGATAATACCAAACTTAGAAGAGTCCATCTTTCTAAGAAGTAAGATTCTGAAGATACTGTGGATTCCAATTCCTTGTTACAAAGACAATCTGCCAAGGTAACCAATTTCTCTCCAAGGACATTGCCTTTTAGCCAAGGAGTCACTAAAGCATGTTTAACTGAACTAGAACATGCCTAAAACCATAAAATTAAAATAGAGATTAGAAACAAGATCAAACTTGCACCATATTACCTTCTTTCATCATGACCCCACCCCAACTTTATCGCCCCCCTCCTCCTTCTCCTAAAGTTCTAGGAAGACTGGTGTCTTCCTTGTTCCCCACTGAGGCTGCTTATTTTCACTTCCATGTCCTCCCAAACATAAATATTCCCCCTCACTTTCACTTTTTAAAATTCCATCCATTGTTCAAAAATCATTACAAATCCCTCCTGCTTTACCAAGTCTCCCCCATCCACTCTAGCCCACAGTGATCACTGCTTTTCTCTGAATTTCTAAAGCACTTACTGGATTGTATTATTATTTAAATGTTTCATCTGTGTGTATCTTGTCTTTCCAATGAGATTGTAAATTCCTTGAAAGCAGAGACTGTCTTAAACTTCTTTGATACCTGCTATCAACACTGCAGATATGTTCAATGAATAATGAATGAACTTTGAAGATAGATTTATAAATGCTATAGATATTACATTTTTGTTCATTAATTTTTCCAAAATTAAAGAACAATTAATGTATAGGAATGGTAAATTACTTCAATATGAACAATGGGACTTATTTCCCCAAATTCTCTGAAACAGAGTTATTAGGACCAGTATCTGACAGCAACTTATTTATTTTCATGAGTGGGGAAGCAAGTAAATCCACCCCCAAAAGCATGCAGATCCATGTTCCCAGAGCTTCTTTTGCGTTAAGGGCTGAGAAGAAAGGAATTTGCAACTTGGTTCATTTCAAAGCAATCTGGAAAAAAAAAATCCAAGTGCCAATTGGGTAGTGCCTGAAAAATTGCTTATCTTTATATTTAAAAAATTATAGGCAACCAGACCTTGTATTTTAGTCCAAGGTTTACCATTAATGTAGCTTCATGACCTTGACGAATCTCTTAACCAACCTAAACCTATCTCTTAATTTGTAAACTGAAAAGATTAACCTATGGAAACTCTAAGGTCCTTTTCCAGTTTCAAAATTCTACTTTTTTTTGCTTGTTTGTTTGCTTTTAAATAAACTAACTTTAGGGCCCTGCTAATAAAGAATTAGGTTCCAAAAAAACAAGAAAAACTACAGTTTAAATGGCTACAGTACTGGCTTTCCTAATGTAGTTTATCAAATAAGGCTAATCTATTTTGTAGGATCCTGGAGAAAAAAAGTAAGCTTCTGAATGTCTCTCATTAAAAATTAACGAGACAGGAGGATCAACTTCTCAATGCATTATTGTATCTAGTGACAGAATCTGCAGCTGTGAGGGACCATGAAAGCACAGGAAGCAAATATTGCTCAGGAATTTCCAAACCCTGCTCAGGAAGAATATACTCTTTTCTCAGCAGATAATAGGAGTGGCTCGACTACCTGGCAAATACAGTCATAAGTCTGAAATAGACGCCTCAGTTTACTCATATCAAATTATTGATTCCCCATGCTCTGATTCTAGGCTTTTCAAGCAGCTATCTGATAATTTGGCTCTTCATGGAGGCACTGGATAAACTAACGCAAATAGTATATGTTTGCATATTTCCCAGTGAATAATAAATGTTAACATTTTGTATTTTGTAAAACTAAACTTCTGAGAGAATTGGGAAGTTACTATTTAATGAAGGTAATCGTTTTAGTTTTTTGTTTTTCAGTACAAGGGATAAAATTCAGGGCTTAGCACATACGAGGAAAGTGTTCTTACACAGAGTTATGTCCCCAGCCCACAGTTTAAGTTTCACAAGATGAAAAAGTTGTGGAGATTGGTTATACAACAATATAAATAAACTATTGAACACTTAGAAATAGGATAGGACTGAGGGATAGCTCCATGATAGGGTACTTGTGTCACATGTCAGCCCAGGGTTCAATCCTCAGGATTGGAAAAAAAAAAAAAAGAAAAGAAGGAAATGGTCACAGTGGTAAATTTCATACATTATGTGTTTTTCACTATAATTTTCTTTTTGGTTTTTTTTTTTGGCAGTACTGGGGTTACAGCTCAGCCTTGCACTTGCTAGAAAAGCATTCCACCTTTTGACTAGCCTTTACAATTTCAAAGATTTTAAGACAAAATCTTATAAACACAGAAGAATTATCTACATAAAACAGAAAAGCAATCAAAAAATAAGAATTAAGGTAACTACTCATAACAACATGTCTTTAGTTGGAATATCGTCAGCCATATCATTTTTATATCATTAGGAAGAAATAGTCATTTAAAAATTCTCAGAACTGTTTGTGTTCTTTGATTTCATTAATTTAATCACTAATTTTCTTCTTTAATCAAGTATCAAATCATACAAAAACTGGAATATTTTAATTTGCCTGCAGAGCATTCCAAAGTAGGGAAAACATAATTTCCTGATGTGCTCTAGTCAAAGCTAGAACCATTCGAGTAACTTTTACAGAAGAAAAAGTGATAAAATAAGAGCAGAAACCATAGCCTTATGGTGATAAAATGTTTAACCTCCCCTATGGTACTTGCTAGGAAAGACACTGGATTTTCCAGAGCCTGTGCATTTTTCTGAGAGTCCTAACAAGAAAAATACTACTACAAAAAGGTAAAGGTAAATGTCTTCACAAGCTAGGGAAAGAAACTTATAATAGTGAGGAAATTCTCTAACATAGACACTTGACTATAATGTGTGAACATATCTGTGTTTCATCTTTCTATACCCATAAATACACACACACAAAAAAAGAAAAAAAATCCTTAAGGTACCTTTTCAATAACCTGAAGAATAGAATTCCATTTCAGGTCCTCCTGAAAGAAGAAAAAGAGTTAGAACCAAACTGCTAGAATAAACAGCAAAACCTAAAAAGTAAGTGAAGTCCCCATTTAAGCGATACAAAACTAAAAACATTTTTAGCTAGTTCAACTTTAAAAAGTATGGACTGAAAGACCTCCCCCTTTTTATTAACAAACTTTTTTTGTCATCTTGGAATTGCTGAACATCTATATAGAAGTCTCAGATACTCACAAAATCACAATAAACAATATACTGCTTGTCTTTAATTTACATTCACAGTCAAGAAACAACCAAAAAACAAAGCAAAACAAACCCATGCAGGTTTATTCTTATCATCTATTATTAATGTAAATTTAGGGCTTTGGGCATGGCTCAAGTGATAAGAGTGCCTGCCTAGCAAGCTCTAGATTCTGAGTTCAAACCCAACTACTACCAAAAAATAAAAATAAGGCCGGATGTGGTGGATCATGTCTATAATCCTAGCTACTTAAGAAGTAGAGATCAGGAGGATCATGGTTTGAGGCCATCCTGGGCAAATAGTTCGTGAGACTGCAACTCTACCAATGGCTGGGCATGGTGACATGTACCTTTCATCCTAGCTACACTCCAGCTACACAGGAAAGTGCCAATATGAGGATCACAATCCAGGATGGCCCGTGCATACAGCAAGACCCCAGCTCAAAAATAACCAGTGCAAACCCCAATACTGCTAAAAAAACTAAAATAAAATAAACAATGCAAAAAGGGCTGGCAGAGTGATTCAAATGGTAAAGTACCTGCCTAGTAAGCACTGAGTTCAATGTCTAGCGCTGCCAAAAAAAATTAAAATATTATAAATTTTAAAAGATATACAATAGTTATACCTCAGTTAGATCATCCAAGACATCTTTTCTTTCCATGTCACTGTCACAGCACCGGAGGGCACTATACAAAATGTCCACCAGGAAACCAGCATCCTTCTTTTGACCTTCATTTAGCCAACCTACTAGTTTATGGTACAAAAACTGCACTGCGGGATTTTTCTGTGCAAGTCTGGTTATTTCAAGAGGTTTGGCTTTGACAATACTCTCTTTTTCATTACCCAGGAGCACTTTAAATACTTGGCTTGAAGAGAATGAGTCAAGCAGAGTAGAAAGAAACTGAAGATGTTGCTCTGACTTTTGTTCTTTGATGTAATTAATACTCATCTCTGCAAGTTTACATACTAAGTCTTCCAAAGGTTTTTTCCTTAAAGGAGACAGAATGGCTGAAGAATTAGGAGTGAGAAGAGATTCCCTCATTAATTCAGAGACTTCACTGTTCTCTCCTTCAGAAGATACACATTTTTCATTTTCTTTATTACTTTCAGGTACCTCATCAGCAAATCTAACCTTACTATTTTTCTTTTTAATTGACTTCAGTGGGCTCTTTGGCTTCTGAAGGACCTGTAATAGGTTAGATACACTCAAAACACACTTAACATCAGCTTCAGGCTCATTGATTTTCTCAACACAGATCTCTGACAGTCTTTTCCAGAAATTGAACAGCACACTCTCCAAGTCATAAGCCATTTTATCATCTTTTTCCACATCTGCTTTGGCTTCCCAGGAAGTTAAAATTTCTGCTAAATGGTCAAACAGTGGCTCATGTTGCAATCCTGGGTCTCTGAGAACTGTATCAATAAAAGGGATCAACTGAAAAAGAAAGTAAAAAATTTCAGTTTCCAAGAGAAAATTTAAATAAGGTATTTGCAAAGTATTATAAAATTTCATATTTGATAACTGAAAATGTGAATTTTCCCCCAGAACTTCAAAAAGATAATTTTCCTGTCATACATAAAGCTTAACAATTTCATCACATTCCACCTGAATTACTTGCACATCTGTTCAAAAAAAATGTCAAATAAGGCTGGGGGTGTGGTTCAAGTGGTAGAGCACCTACCAGTAAGTATGAAGCCCCAAATTAAAATCCCAGTACAGCCACACACACACATAAAGATAAATGTATCTGAGTATTTCAGAAGTAACAAAATGATTACTGCATAATTTAAACATAATATGAAAGGCCATAAATAGCATTTCCCAAATTCTGTTTTATACTGCCTCTTTAAAACAGTCAGGGTTTTTAAATCCAGAGACTGGAAATATTTAATAAGCTTAATAACTAGTCCTCAGGCATCATGACATGACACTAGCAACTAACAGAATTTTTAACTAATCTGGTCAGGTATACGTATTACTTAATTTGTAAATTATAAAAATGAAACCTTTACAAGGAAGGATAACTGCCAAAAATGGCCTGATTCTTTACAATGTGCAAAGACATGATTTTTCATGTTACAAGTACCTGATCATTGACGAGCATCTGTTCAATCTCTTCCTCACCTAAATTTTGTTGCATTATGAAACGTAAGCATTCAAAAAAAGCAGATATTACAGCTGAACACTCTGAAAAGCTGGTTTTGAGTCTCTCTGTTGACAGTCTACAAAATAGTAACTGTGGATTACTCTTTCATGAAGAAAATAAGAACTCAGTATCACCAAAATAGATATTGAAAAGGCATCATGCCAAAGGAAGACTTTTTTTAAAATAAAAACAAGAAAAATATACAGCCAATGAGAACTTGAAGAATTATGACAAAAACTGTATTTCCAAAAATGTATTAGCAAAAGATAAAAGATATTTTCTGTTCATGAGTCAATCCACCTACAAATCTAAAAGACAGGACATAACCAAAGAGATAATGGTAGCGGTCAATCCAATCAGCTATCATATCTAACTTTAGGGAACGTTTAATAAACTTCACTGGCTCATTTTCTACATTTACACATTAGTATTTATCAATGTTTAAAAAAAAAAAAGCATGAATAATTTGTAAAATGGCCTACTTCCCATCTAGGAGTTTTACCATATTTATCTAACTTTCTGCTAGGCACTAACCATAGAAGCCTTGAATGTACTCAAGAAAAGAACTCTGAGCTGGGTGCAATCTTGACCTATGTAACAAGCTAAGGCAGGAGGATCACTTGAGCACAGGAGTTCAAGGCCCTCCTGGATAGCATAGTTAGACCTGACTAAAAAAAAAAAAAAAAAAATTTTTTTAATTCAATTATATTTCTCTGAAAACATTGTTTAAAGAACAGCAATACAATTTGGAAAAACTGAAGAAAATAATAAGAACAAAACCAGTAAAATGTCTCTTGCTTTAAATATACAGAATTAAAATTGCTTACCCTGCAACTACAGAGGTGAGGAAATTTTTAAAGAAATCCAACTTTGGATCTGTAATGGACTGAGGGAGTTTGCTGATAAATGGCAGGAGATAAGGATATATAACAGTTGCTAGGCCCCGGCCACCTTCACGAACCACAGTTAAGAGCTTGGGAAAGACACTTTTTTTTGCATTTACATGAAGCCAACAGTCCTAACCAAAGAAAAGATTAAAATATTAATTAGTGATCGGAAACATATTTTTCCCAATTAAGAGAAACAAGACAAACAGGCTCTCAAAAAAAAATCAAGTATTTTACTTAAAGAAGTTAAACTACCTCTCTCACCACCATTAAAACAAAAACTCGGAAATTACAAATGTATCACATCTTAAAATCATGTATTCCATATGCTGAAAGGACAACATTGAATATAAACAATCATTTAATTTAAAGGAAGCCAGGCTACTTGGGAGACAGAGAGAAGATTCAGATATACTTTCTGCAGCATTAGGACATAAAGCTTAAATAATAATTAATATTGAATAAACAGAAAGTAAAATTAAAAGTCTATGCCATTTTATAGTTAGCATAAGATTTACACTAAATTTGGAAAGCATTTTTACAGTAACTATTGGATGTTATAATATGATGGTATTCTCTTTCTCTCTTTCTAAGGACTGTAAAACTCAGTGACAAAGACAAGCAATCCCTAGAGTGCTAAACGTGCCCTCACATACATACCTCAATAGTTGTAAGTGTATACAGCACAGCTTCCCAGAGAGCAGGGCAGACAATGGGGTCGCTGTCATCAATGCTCAGTAGAACAGATGGGCTCACTTTGGAAGCTTCCTCTTTCATCAACTGTGGAATGCGCTGGCACAAAGCAGAAACTAATTCAAAATACGCTGAACGGATCTGAAGGAGGAAATGAAAAGAAGAGTTAAATTAAAACCTAGTGAAGTTTGATAAGATTTATTTATGGTAGTAACTCATAACCCTAGTGGGTTAGTAAATAGCTAATAAAAACTAAAAATACTATAAAAATACTTGTTAAATCTTCCTTAAAGTATCAAATGGCTGAAAAGACATTAGGAATTACCAAGGCAAAAGTGAAGACAGAAGGAATTTTACTTTTTCTTTGACTAAAACAAACATAAATCCTTTTCAGTAGCAGAACCCTTCATTTGGGGCCTCTGATAGAGACATACAACAAAAAGACACCATGAATCCTTGATGAGCCAATGTTGCACTATGGATACAAATCTACATTTATACGCTATTAGGACAGATGGTGCATTAGACAGGATTGTTGCTTTGAAGCAATATTTACAACATGAGCAAACTTTTATATCTGCATTTGGAAAAAAAATAAAACAGGTTCTTATTAAAAAAAACAGACACTATAAGCCATGATCAGCAGAAACAAGAAGTACATCATACAAGACTTTATAAATCTTAAAATCATCAGTCCAACACTCACTAAGAACAATGAGTATTGTTATTTAAAGAAACAACAGCTTTAAAAATCTGCAGAAAAAGGGATCCTAGAAAAAACATCAAAGATCTGACAAACAACCAAATGTAATTCCTAAACTAAAAAATTAATTTAAACTTAAAGCACAATTCACAGTTCAAGGGAAATGTTAAGGTCTGAATGTGTTCTCCCACCAACTCAAATACTGAAACTTAATTGCCAATGTGATAGTACTAAGAAGTGGGGTCTTTGGAAGGTGATTACATCTTTAGGGCTTCACCTCATGAACAGGATTTCATTCCCTCAGCCTTACAAAAGGGCTGAGGGAGCAAGTCTGTCCATTCGGTCTGTTCCAATATGTAAGGATGCAGCAAGAAGGCATCATCTTTGAAAGAGACAAAGCAAGCCTTCACCAGACAAGGAATCTATTGGCACCCTGACCTTCAACTTACCAGCCCACACAATTGTAAGAAATAAATTTCTATTATTTATAAATTACTCCATCTGAGGTATTTTGTTATAGTAGCCTGAATGGACTGAGTCAGGCAGCTTAGGTACAAATAAAGAGAGAATCAATCAGTGAACCAAAGGACAGAGAAAAAGAAATTATCCACAAAGCAGCATAAAGAGACAAAAAGATGAAAAACATCAAAGAAAGCATAAAAACAAAAGAATAGAGTAAGAGGGCTTAAGATACATTTAATCAGAATGACAAAAGAAAAAGAATAAAGCAAGGGAATTACCATACTATTATATGCTGAGAATTTTACGGAGCCAATTAAATATTCCCATCCACACATTCAAGAAGCCAAATAAATGAAGATACAAAGATACATAAAAGGAAATCCAGATAAATATACAACGCAGTGCAACTGCAAAAACACAAAGACTAAATCTTAAACTACATGAACTATATTCCAAGAAAGGTCATTAAGACTAATAGTGACTTTATCAGAAGATAGTAGAATAATATCTTCAACACAAAATAACTGCCAAAAGGTAACACTGCACCTGAAAAAAAATATTTTTCAAGAATAACAGTGAACCCAGAAGTGGGGGTACATGCCTATAATCCCAGCTACTCAGGAGGTAGACACAGGATGATTACAGTTGAAGGCCAGCTCAGGCAACAATCAGTGAGAACCTCTCTCAAAAACAAGCCAGGCTAGCCAGGTGCCAGTGGCTCACACCTGTAATCCTAGTTACTCAGGAAGCAGAGATCAGGAGAATCGCAGTTCAAAGCTAGCCTGGGCAAATAGTTTGTGAGACCCTATCTCAAAAAACCCTCCACAAAAATAGGGCTGGTAGAGTGGTTCAAGATAAAGGCCCTGAATTCAAGCCCCAGTACTGCAAAAAACAACAACAACAACAACAAAAACAAGCCAGGCATGGCAGTGCATATCTGAAATCCAGGCTATTCAAAAGACAGAGGTATGAAGATCGTGGTGCAAGGCCAGCCCGGGCAAAAGCAAAAGACTCTATCTGAAAAGTAAACTAAAAGCAAAAAGACTGGAGGTGTAACTCTAGTGATCTTTCCTAGCAAGTGTGAGGTCCTGAGCTCAATCCCCAGTTCTGAAAAAATATAATGAAGCAACATGTAGGTAAATCTAACCATAAAATATGTATATCTTATTACCAAATCAGTCAGCAGAGTACTTAAAAAGACATGACATTTATGGGCTGGCAGAGCAGCTCAACTGGTAGAGTGCCTGCCTAGCAAGCATGAGGCCCTGAGTTCAAACCCCAGTACTGCAAAAAAAAAAAACAAATAAAACTCCAAAAGACATGACATTTAATAATGGTAAATTTTTAAGTTTGTCTCTTAAAAACAAGGCTGAAAAATTGTATGCTTGTACATATAAGCAATAAAGAAAATTCCAGCAATCATTCATGACAGAAATATTCAGTAAACTAATAATAAAAAGGAAATTCTTGAGCTTTACAAAATCAACACTACATATCATACCTACATTGGAAGTTTAGAACTATTTCCATTAAAGTTTAAGAAGAAAAAGCCTCATTCTATCACTCTTCTACCCAATGCAGTACTAGAGGACCTACTCAGTACAAGGAAATAACAAAGACACAAATGTACAAATACAAGGACTTGGAAAGAAATACAACTAACAGTAATTGCAGCACTCTACCAAACTAGAAAAAATATTTAAAAAGACTGAAACTATTAGAACAAGAGGAGTATGGAAGATTTACTGGATGTAACATGCAAAAGCATAAGATTTCCTATACACCAGTAAAAACAAAATAGAAAATGCAATAAAAAGGAAAAACCATTTCACAATAGCAACAAAAACAACAAAGTCATATTTGCAGAATACGATATATTATGCTAGGATGAAAAGGACATAAAATGTAAAAAGAATTTAGAAAATGCACTTTCCCAGCTAAGCTCAAAGCAACCCTCTGCCTTATTTCAGCACACACATTATAAACAAGTAACCCTTCACAAATCTATTTAGCACATTTTTCAAAATTCTTATGCTTTTTTTTTTAGGGATTTTCAAGTTTCAAATAGCCTTCAGGTGTAGCATGAAGTGCAGTCTATTGTATCAAAGTATAAGAAGGCAGTGATACCCCTTAAAGAGAAAACATGAAGGATCGAGGTGTAGCTCAGTTGGTAAAGTGCCTTGCCAAGAATGCACAGGGCCCCAGCACCACACAAAATAAATTAAATAAAAATTTCTTGTCTATCCAGGTGCCAGTGGCTCATTCCTATAATCCTAGCTACTCAAGAGGCAGAGATCAGGAGGACTGCAATTTGAAGCCAGCCTGGAGAAATAGTTTGTGAGACCCTATCTTAAAAATACCCAACACCAAACACGTCTGGTGGAGTGGCTCAAGTGGAAGAGCGGCTGCCTGGCAAGTGTGAGGCCCAGTGTTCAAACCCTAGTACCACAAAAAAAAAAAAAAAAATTCTTGTCTGGTAAGAGAAAATTTGTGTGTTCAATAAGCTTCATTCAGCCTGAATTTCAATGTTCCTTCCTGTGAGTTCAATATTAATGAACCAATTTAAACAGAAACAAATCAACTGAAAAAAATGTTGTGACCAGATGCTCACAGAAACCTAACTCTGACTTTCTCCTAGGAACAATGCTTGAGTATTCACTAATTCAGTGTTTATGCTCATATTACAGAACACAACTATCTTGAATAATAGTAGTAATAACCTATACAAACTAAATATATACATAAAAACCAGCAGAATGATCAGCCACTGGAAGTGGAAAACAGAATGGCAGAAAGGGACAAAAGTAAAAAAAAAATTAAATGAGAAAAGTCTTGCATATACAAACATTTAAGGTACCTAAGGACCAACTAAAAAAATTGAAAATATAGGGTTGGAGTTGAAGCTTCATGTAGAGCACATACTTAGCATGCATGAGGTCCAGGATTCAATCCCCCACAACAAAAGTAAAGAGAAAATATAGTAAAGGAGGTAATTCAGTCCTGAAGGACCCACCACAAAGAAGTGCTTACAGAATTTTACATATAAACAATAAACATAAAGCCCAAATAAAATCTAGTAAGATCAAATGGCAGGGTTGGCAGGTGTGGACCAAGAGATAGAGCGCCTGCTTATCAAGCAGGGGGCCCTGAATTCAAACTCTTATACATCAATAAGTGAATGAATGAATGAATGAATGAACAAATAAATAAAAGGGAAAATGTCTTAAAATAAAAAGGATTAAGATACCTGAGGTATACTGTGTTTTTCCATATTTCCAAAATTTATTCTGTGATAAAAGAGACTTAAATTTCTCCTCCAAAGAATCAAGTTCATTATCAGGTAATAGACAAAGCAATTTCTTTAATGCCAATAAGGAACAAGTTACAACTCGATGGAATTTAGCCTCTCTTTCTTCCTCTGGAACAGTTCTTAATTTAAAAAGAAGATAAATGTTAGGATTGCAAATAAGCCAAACAAAATTTGGCACTTCTGCTTAAAATTTTTATCACTAATGGCCCACAAAAGTTACTTTATTTCTATCTTCTATTCCCTGTGTGCCAATCCCCCTAAAAATGCAAACTCAGATGGAATATTAATCATGTATTTTACTACTAATACAAGGTGAAAAATAGATGAAAAGCCATGGTTTGAAATAAGTGAGCAAGGACACTGCTCTCAGTGGCACAAACTACAGTGATTCTAGGAATAGATATCAAGGTATCTCTAATCACTTTCCTTTATAGATTCTTAAAAGTTTGATTAGAACATAACAATAAAAGCAAATAAAGCATTTTTACTCTTTCAACAGTACAAATACTTTCAACCAGACCTTAAACTAGTTCCTGTTATGAATACCAAAAGGTAAATGCAATAAAAGTCTAACACTATTTCTCTAATAGAACTAAAACTATTTCTAATAGCTTCCAGACAATTTAAGTTAAACGGGAAGACAAGTTACTTTTAAAAGCACTTAATATAACACATGGCATTGAGAATTACTCTTTTTTTTAGAAAAATGTCACATTGAAACTATGTCTGGTTATATATGAGTCAAATTCTTACATGAGTTTCATGGAAACAATATAACTTACTGTGGGTCACTGAGGGTATCAGGTGTTTCTTTTAGAAGATGATCCTGTAGCACCTAATAAGGGAGAAAAAGACCAAACCCTTGAGATTTAATTGAACTGTCAATGTAAACAGATACACCTGAGTAAAACCCGTACTTAACAGCAAAATCCAGTAGCAAAACTAAAAGGTTCGAATTTTACCCTCTTTTTCTTTTCCTATTAATCCCCAAGGCTAGCTGCTGCTAGGTAAGAATGATAGGGTACCTGTTACTCACACCTCTAATTCCCATCAAGAGACATTCTCCACTAAATACTTTGGGCCACTTGTTCCTTTATTCCTCTTGCAAGCAGTAGTACAGTGGAATAATCAATTAGTAAATCTGAGAGAGAAATTAGGTTCTGCTTTCCTTTCCATTCTTTGGGTGTCACTGCCACAGAGAGCACATGCTGTACTCTGCCCCATCATAAGGGAAGGTCTTTGGCTGGGGGTGTGGCTCACGGTAAAGTGCTTGCCTAGCACATGCAAGACCTTGGATTTGGTCCCCAGCACTGCACACACACACACACATACCCCAAAAAAGAGGAAGGTCTAAGGTTTTCAAATGGGGTAATTCTGCCTATTTCTGGAGTGCAATACCAGAGAATCCACTGTTCCAGTATCAACTCTATCAGCAATAACAACAGGTAACACTTGCTGAGCTCTTCCACATGCCAGGTTTGACAGTTAATTGTCAACTTGACTGGATTGAGAGTTCCATAGATTAGTAAAGCACACCTCTGGGTATGTCTGTGAAGGCATGGTAAATAGTGCAGAACCCAATGACATGACACAGCCCACAGACAGCAGGATACACTGTTTATACTGATGACATTTTCATCTTTATTTCTGTACTGCCTCTATAATAAACTGGTAAGTTATCCAGAGCAAAGAAAGAAGGAAAAAAAAAACCAAACTTTTAAAAAGGCTATCAACAGCCAAATTAGTTGCCTCAAAAAACATTTTCTAAGGAATGGTGGGGTAGAGCACCTGCCTAGCAAGTGTGAGGCCCTGAGTTCAAACCCCAATACCGCCAAAAAAAAAAAAAATTATTATTGGAGATGATAAAGAATGATGGATGGGGTGAATTTAACTAAGACATATATAAGCACTTTTGTATATGTCACAATGTACACCAGTGCAGTAATAAAATAAAAAAAAAATTTTAGAAAGCATTTTTTGAAGTTCTTAATTCCCAAATTCTGACATTTCACTCTCATAACACTGGTCACTTGGTACTTTAAATCAACCAACAGGTGGGTTAGAGAACTTCATTTGAGAATATCATTAAAGACACCAATCCTCTCTCTAGAAAAATAAATGTGGCACACCTGAGAAATGAAAAATGGAAAATAAAATCAAGTAATGTGTCGAGGAGGGGGTGAAAGGAGGAGTTGTTGGGTGAAGGGACCACACAGATAAACAGGGACCAGATCAAACCAAGCCTTGTATGCCAAGACAAGAAATCTGAATTTGAAATATAATAGAAAGCTTCAGGAAGAGTCTGAAAGGAGGAAGGAAAGGAGACAGGAAGCAGGAAAATATTTAGGCAGGATTACATACAGGGTACTGAAAAAACAGAGCACTAACTAAGGGAATGAATGCCAGAATGCTTTTTTTTTTAATTCTTAATTCTCCCCTCACTTCTGGTTCATCAATTTTTATTTCTTGATATAATTTTCACACAGATAAAATATTGCACATATTCAGAAAAGCAAAGAGGAATACAGAATGAGACATTAAAAAGTCACTGGTATCAATCTGGCAAAAGTGTTGGCTAAGAGTGGAGAAGCTTTCATATCTGCTAGTGGCAATAATACAAATCTGTTTCACCTTTTGAAAGTTAATTTATCAATGTTTATAAAACTTTTAAGTATTCTTATTCTTTGACCAAACATATGGTTACAGTAAGTTCTAGTAAGTATCATTCCAATAAAGATACAAAGAGATCTATTCAAGAATGTTCACTGAAGCAGCATTTGTTAGATTAAAAAAAAAACCAGGATGGGTGTGATGGTGCATGCCTGACGGTTCCACACCAACTTGGGCAAAAAGTTAGCAAAATCCCATTTCAACCAAAAAACTAGATATGGTGGTACACTCCTATAATTCCAGCTACAAAGAAGACATAGGTAGGAGGACAGACAAAAAAGTAAGACCCTATCTGAAAAATAACTAAAGCAAAACAGGGCTGGGGGGATGTGGCTCAAGTGGCACAGCATCTGCCTAGCAAGCATGAGGTCCTGAATTCAAACACAAGTACTGCCAAAAACTTAACAATTTCTTAAATCCCAAATGAATTTATATTTACGCAAAAAGAATTAAATAAACTACTATACAACTACATAAAGGAACAGCAAAGAATCAATAAAAAGAATGAGGTAGCTCTATATGTACTGATAGGAAAATATGGAGGAAATAGTTTTAGATTTATTTATAGGTATATTCTTTGGTTAGATTATATATTAGAAAGCACCTATCAAATTTTTTAGATAATATGATAAATTAAGTTCAATAAATTAAAGGTAAAAAATGTAAGTATCATAGAAAGATCAAATACAAAGTGTTAATTTTGGCAAAAATCAAAAACGGTCAATTTTGTGAAATACCATTTTAAAAAGGCAACTGTGGACTGGGAATATAGTTTACATGGTAAAGCACTTCCCTGGAATGACAAGGCCCTAGATTCATTCCTAGCACCACAATTAAATGGAAAAGTAACCTTTGGTTAGAAATACTTCACTTACTTATTCCTCTACTGTGATATTATGATGTATTTGGTTTTCATTCATGGTTCCTAGCTTATAATTCCTTCCCCCAAGGCAGTCATAGAAACTAGAATTTATCTTCTCCAAGGCAGGGTCATAGAAACTGTAATATTCCCATCTTTCAGTCTTGCTGCTAGTCATTAATGAAATACTCTGACGTACATTTGTCCTATAGGAGATCATAAGACCATCCTCATTCCAGAGGGATGCTGTCCCCAATTCTGGATGGAGGCAGAGTGCACAAAAAGACCACAAAGAATGCTGAGCAGACAAGCCTTGCCAGGTTCCCCCAGCCAGTCTATTAGTATTGGATCCAATCACATTTTGAGAGGCTGTCCAAGTTTCAATCAAGCCTAGACAATAAAGTCCTCATTTAAAAAAAAAAAGACAGGGCTCAAAGAGCTTCTGGAGAGATAAACACATGACACATGGAAGCATGCAAAAACGCAAATAAGAATTCATGCATATGACAGGAGGGTACCCCACCTCCACAAGAATGGAAACTCCTGCACTCAAGACCCTTACAGACCTTGCCCTGTGTACCACTCTTCATCTGGCTACTCATCTGTATCCTTTAAAACATCCTTTATAGCCAGGCATGGTGGGGCACACCTGAAATCCCAGTACTCGGGAAGATCGCAAATTTAAGATCAGACTTGGCTACATAGTGAGTTGGAAGCCAGCCTGGGCTACCTAGCAAGATCCTGTTTCAAAAAATAAATAAAATAAAATATCCTTTCTAATAAACTGTAAATGTAAATATAGTATTTCCCTGAGTTCTACAAGCTACTCTAGCAAATTAATTGAACCCGAGGAGGGGCTTGTGGGAACCCCAATTTGTAGCCAGTGGGACAAAGGCCCATACTTGAAACTAGGTGAGAAGTGGGAGCAGACGTGGGGACTGAGCCTCACAATCTGTGGCATCTAATGCTACCTCCAGGTAGACAGTGTCAGAACTGAGTTAAAGGACACCCAACTAATGGGGAGAAATCCCTGCACCTTTCAAGATCACAGATGTCTCTTGTGCTCATTGTGGTGTGAGCAGATGACAAAGAAATTTGCTATTTTCCTAACATATTTATAAAAGCAAGTAAAAGAGCTGTCATCATAAGATACAGCACTTAAATAAGTAAAAAGACACAGATACAGAATGATTCCAAAAACTTACACTTGTAATCTCATCCTTACAAAATGCTATGGCTTCTGGCTGCTTGCTTGGAGGAAAAGCAGCTTCAAATGCATCTTTTGCTGCAAGTGCAGCTGGTACATATGTATCACACTGAGCCATTAGCCAATATCCCATTAAACTTTTTAAATAGGGAGCCAAGTGTTTCTTCACTTTAAGGATAAGTTTTTCAAAAGCTTGTTGTGTAGCTTCTCGGACACGGCGGTCATGATCCTGTTGAAAATATAAATGTGGTTTAAAAACAAACACTAGTCTTTCTAGATAAGCTACAATCACTCATTACAGAGCTAACTTAAAATCAGTATTTGAGGGGTGGGAAATATAGTTCAGTGGTACAGCACATGCTTCACATGCATAAGGCCTTGGGTTCAACTATAAGCAACTCATTCTCATTCTTCTGCAACAAATATGTAAAGGAATAAAGTATTTGCAAACAGACCAGGCACAGTGGCTCACACCTGTAATCCTAACTACTCAGGAGGCAGAGATCATGAAGATTGCAGTTCAAAGTCAGGTTTGTGAGACCCTATCTTGAAAACACCCAACACAAGAGGTAGAGTGTCTGCCTAGCAGCATGAGGCCCTGAGTTCAGACCACAATACCACAAAAAAAAAAAAAAAAAAAAAAAAAATTACAGTTTATTATGGCTGGAAAGCATCTGGTGTTTTTTTTTGTTGTTGTTGTTTTTCCTTAAGACAAGATTTCAGCTGGAGATGTAGCTCAGTGGTTGAGTATATGACTAGCATCCATGAGGTTCTGGGTTTGATCCTCAGTACAAAAAGAATTAAAAAAAGACAGGGTCTCACTATGTAACCCAGCTGGCTTTGAATTCACAATCCTCCTGTCTTAGGTTTCCAAGTGCTGGGATTACAAGTTTGTGCCACCCCACCCAGCAAAACCTAATTTCTGAAAATACAGGTTCTATATACACTCTTTACATCTTAACACAATCCAATCTGCATAAGAATGTTGACCTAACATTTCATAATCTTCACCAAAATTGAATCATTTAAATTTGACAGCCCCCATAATTTCAACCAAAAGATACACAAAGAAACAAATAGGTCTTAATACTCACAAGTGAAATTTTGCAGAAAATTCTTGGCCAATAAGGAAGAACTCCTTTTACAATTTCTGTGTCTCTATCTGTACACATAGTTCCAAATTCCTGCATAGCCTAAAAGTAAATTATTAAATCATTAAGAATTAATAGCCATAATATTGGCTATTGATTATATTTATTCTGTTCTGGAAGCTTAGTCTATTTTATGTAACAGAAAACTACGTCATTTGTGCTGTATGGAAATAATATGAAGAAATCTTTCAATCTACCATGGTAGAAATTTTTTAGTTGTTTTTAAAAAAATTACATGTATGCAAACAACAACAAAACATTTAAACTATGGCTGGGATGGGCGTGATGGTACACATTTGTAGTCCCTGCTGCCCAGGAGTTTGATTAGCCTAGGCAATATAACAAAACCCATGCGAAAAACAGAAAATAAAGATTTTATTCCCTACTGGAAAAACTATAGACAAAATTCCAAGTGATTCCTAAAGGTTCATAGCAACAAACTAATTTATAAAGCAGAAGATAAGTGTCAACTAAGCTTAAGTCTATGTATTAGAAAAAAGTACAATTATAAAAAAACTAGTTAATGACAAATTATTGTTTCTTCTTTATGTCAAATATACTAATGACATTTGTTTTAACAGAAAGATATTCTTTTATCATTTTTATAAAAACAAGAAAACTTGCTTTTAGTTTTGTTGTAACATCTTTCTTAGAAAGTTTTCGCAGCACCATTCGGAAATCAGAATCTACAAGACTGTCTATTTCTTCAGCTCCTTGAATAGCAGGAACATAGCCTAGGTCACTGTGAGATGTTCCAAAACCAATAAATCCAGGCACTGTTCCCTGTTCTTTGGCAAGGAGTTCTGCAGCTCGACCACTGTTTGAAGGCTGATAAGAAAGTAGAGAGAAAAATAACTCAGAGTGCAAAAAGAGTTCAAACTTTAACTTTGTAATTCCTTAGTAATTCTCATGATCAGAACAAACTTTTGAGTATACTCAATCCTGGCCTAAGATTTCATCTGTTCCAATATTCCCCAAAGATAAATACTTCTGTGACCAAGAACCTATCAAACATGATCCCAGAAGTATTTATTGGTTTCCTAAACATTAGAACAATGTTTTTTAAACTGTAGATAAAACTCATTAGTGGTTCATGATATCAGTATATTGGGCCATGAAAAAATTTTAAATAAATAAGATTTTAAAAACCAGAATCCACTTAACATGTAGTAAGATTTTCTTAAGTACTATTTTATTAAATTTTTTATATCTGACTTTCATATAAACAGTATTTATACACACATTTGTATAGTGGTAATAATGCAAAATTAACTAATAAATGGGTCTGATCTTTTCATTCATGCATTTGTTCAAACAGAGGTACTAAACGTTACCACGGGACAGGTCTATGACAATGCCTCTAGACTGAGTTCCTCAAGTGCAGGTAATGTCCATTTCTGTACATTCAAACCTTAGCCTCCCTTCTTTGGGATAAAATTACATTATTATTAATAGACTCAAAAAAAATCAGTGGTCAAAATTAAAGATGCCCATTTTGTTTTGAGCCATATTAGCAGTTTGATTGATACACAATATAATAGTCTCCTATTTCTAAAAGTTAGGGAGCTAATTGCTACAGAAAGGAAATACTTTATTGAAAAAATCAATTTATTCATTGTCAGCCATATGACACTCATCCACACTCATCTATTACTTATTTCTTGACAAAGATGTTTGCGAGAGATTATCTAAATGTGTTATAAAAATTGCTCACCTCTAACAAAACTATGTTTGGGAATTTATTTGACAAGGAATAATCTGGCCTATTTCTAAACTAAGTGTCAGGAAATAAAAACAATGACATGAATTACTTTTTTTTTTAACTATAGTATTTAAGACTATTTCAAAAAAAGGCTACTTTAAAACTTTCTTAAGGGTTACAGACATCATGTCTATAACCCTAGCTACTTGGGAGGCTGGGATCTGGAAGATCAAAGTTCACAGTCCAGGTAAACAGTTTGAGGGACCCTTCTCCAAAATTACCAGTTCATTTGCAAATGAACTAGAAGTATGGCTCAAGTGGTAGAGCACCAGTTTTGCAAATACAAAGCCCTGAGTTCAAACCTTAGTCCACCAGAAAAAAAGAAAAAAGCTTAGAGAGAACTAACATTATTCATTTCACCTTTCTTAATATTGGTACATAAATACAGGGCTTTAAAAAGAAGTTAGTGAATTATAATTCAACTCTGAAAACTAAAAATGATGGCATTAGAATACAAGAATTTTTATAATATCATTCATATAGTTTTATTTTGAAACAGAATTAGTAAGCTAGTTACTACTAACATAGCCAGGCTGCATTCAGAACTTGAAATATCAGAGCTGAGCTTAATAAGCAGGGACAGAGGAAAAGTGTCACAGATTTCTGGTTTCTAATTTAAAAGTAACATTATTTTTTAATGTACTAAATGTATCTTTCACTCAATGTCTACTTTGAATTTAAAATAGTTACTACTATGATCTTTGTAGGTTAGATACTTATATCCATAATTCATTTAAAAATAAGAACTTTGGTTCTATTCTGGCATTTATTTTCTTATACTATGCTTACTTCTTCTTTCTTTTGTAACTGGCTTCTCTATAGGTATTTGAGTTGGCAACTCTGAGTCTACCAAACTAATGATCTTTCACCATCTGTCTTCAATGTTTCATCTCTTGACACCCTCTTTACATTGTCACTTCCCCCCTCTTTTCCCATCATTTATGTTCTATTACCAACTTGAATTCAAGGTTCCCTAAATTTGATATGCCCTTTCACAATTCAGTCTTTGTATAACTTCTTCCTTTTCCATGCCTGACAAACGACTAATCATCCTTCAAAACACTCACGTTTGTAATACTTGTTTCTCTCAGGTGAATCACCATTCTTTTCTCTCACACTCTTTCTGCTTATAGGGTATCATGTAATACACTAAGTATCTGCTTATGAATCTTTATATCAAACTAACACTTCAAGAATAGCAGACAGCTGAGTGTCAGGGAAAACACTGATTTCAGCATAAGGAAGGTGGAGGCAGGAGATCAAGAGTTCCAGACCAGCCTGGGCTATGTAGCAAGATCATGTCTTAAAAACAAAAGAAAAAAGATCAGCAGACATTCATCCGTCATCTTTGAATAAATATTATGTCCAGTACTCAATTTTCTTTTGAACAAATGCCACCCTGCAACTTTCTTGCTACATGAGTTTAGGTAAATAAATTTCTCTAAATCTCAGTTCAGTTTTCTTTAAAATCTCAGTTCAATCATTTTTAGAATTAGATAAGAATAACTAATTCATTACGTGGGTCATTGTCAAAATTAAGCATGTTTTTCACTGCCATAGTAATAACTGATTCCAGCAAGAATCATCAAAGGATGCTAAAACCATTAGTAGAAAGTTTGTGGGAAAGCAGTATCTTCAGTTTCAGACTACTACTCCACAAATTGTTATTAGCCAATGGAAAAAGTTAACTTTGCAATAGGCAACATTAAACTAATACCACTAATAATGGGACAAGCAAAAGTGTCATGTGTCCCTGTATGATGCACTGAAAAAGACCCATCGTCTATGAAGAATTCTAGTCCAAAAAACTGTTTAACCTGAATCTAATCATAAGTCTAAAGTAAGCAAAACAATTGACCCAGACTATTTTATGACATAAAAGACACCACCCCCAAAGGGTTGTGGGATGAGTAACTCTTGACTGGATCTATGATACTTTTTAAATGCTGTACCTAAAAACAAAAAGATTATGGGGGACATCATTGAGTACAGAAATGTAAATACAAAGATGCATATTAGAGCATTACATCAAAGTTAAAGTTTCTGCATGTTATAATTGCTCAAGATTATGCAGAAGAATGGTGTTTTTAGAAGATACATGTTAAAGTATTTAGAGTTAAGATCTGAATTTCTGTGACTAACTCTTCTAAGATTCTGCAAAATATATAAGTTTAAAAAAAAAGCTTCTTGTACCATTAATGTATGCTAATTTAAAAAGCAAATTCGATCAAGTATTAATAATTGGTGAATCTATTTAAATAAAATATGGATTGTCATTCTAATATTCTTGCAATTTTGCTCATATCAGGAACTTTTCGAAAATAAAACTCTGAGAAAAATTTTAGTACTAGATAAAATGTTAAATGAGAATGCATGTAAAGCACTTAGCACAGGACTTAACAAGGTAATTGATATTATCTTCCGAAACAGATTGACAAATGAAAATGTGACACTGAAATCACAAGAATTAAATGAATCGGGGGAAAAAAGCGTTTCCATAAAATAAAATTGAACTGTGCTATTAACAAATCTAGCACCATAAAAATAACACTGGAGTATCCGTTAGCAAAGGAGCAGCAGATGAAAACACCTGCCTTTACCATACTTCCACCCTAGTGAATTACGTAGTACGTTAGGAATCATAAATGCAATGGAGTAGAAGTTGACAAGGAGAAGAGAGTAGGGGACCGCTATAATTTACAACGGGGCTATCACGGGTGACCTCACTGAGATGTCTAGTGCAAAATCCGGAGCCACATAACAGAAGAGCCTTGGGAACCTGCCAAGGCGTGGGGAGGTCAGGGTGGCTGGCTGAGGGAGGAAGAGGGGTTGAAGAGGATGCCAGAGACGAAAAGGAGCGACAAGCAGAGCGTAAACAGTGTACATCACCCAAGGGCTGTGGCCTTCATCCCGATGGCTGTAGTTTCTCAGCGAATGAAGGACACGATCCCAGGCCCAGATTAACTTCGCTATTTCCCACCTACCCCACCCCCCCCACAGCTACCTCAGCCAGGTGACATTCCAGTGGACGCGGACACCGACCCACTCCCTAACGAAAAGTCCTGTGTCCGCGTGTGCTCCCTCAGGCACAGCTCTGGCATGAAGCATCTTTTCTCTCCTAATCCCCCAGTCCTCCCAAGCATAACCCATTCCACCCTCGGGGACGCACACACAACAGAGAGGTCACACTCGACACGGAAATGCACGCCTCTCCAATGCCGCGCTCCAGACACCCTCAGACTGCACACCCGGCGGAGCGCGGTGCTGCGAGGCGAGGACTCCCTCGTCGGCCAGGCCACCCCTACTCACCCTCAGGTTCCCCTTGGTCCGCTGCTTGTTCTTCCCGCCCATGGTCGCGGAGGCGGCCGCACTCTCAGTCTGCAGCCCTGAGGTTGACACGGCCGGGCCACAACTTCCGGTCCCTCGCACCGGAAGGGGACTCATTGTAACAACTTCCCCCAACCCTCCCCTTCCGCCTCCCACATCACCTTCCTGCCTCCCCCCACTTCTGCTCCCGCCTCCAGCGGGGTCCCGGACCATCCATCGCCGGTAAGGACACAATTGAAGCCACGCCTATCTGACTGACGTCACTAGTAGCCAATAAGAAGCCAACCATTGACCCCCCCCCCCCCCCCCCCCCCACCCAACCCCACCCCTCACCCCCCACCCCCGGCATCAAACCCTGGCTTAGGCGCTTGCTAGAAGCTAGAGTTGCTCCCTGCAGATAGGAAACTGGTTTAAGCTGTGGTTAGTTTCACGCCAGGGCATCAATAAAATGATATGGTAGTGTCAGTGCGAAAGTAAAGAAGTTAGATTTTTTTAAATGATGCAATCATTGGCATCACCTGGGGCTTTGTTAGAAAAACAGACCCTCAAGCCTACCCGGGGCTAGGAAATCAGGTTCTGCATTCCAAAGACATTCTCCTTCTTGAGCTGGGGGCATGGCTCAAGTTAGTCTTGTGGAAAAAGGTATCAAAAAGAGATTAGGGTGAGGCGTTAATGGTCAAAGAAAATTAAACATTCTGTTAGACTTTTTTTGTACAAGGATAATATATTCTGTACTAGTTATATAATTAAAAGTAAGGAGGGGGCAGTGATTCACACCTATAATCCTAGCTACTCAGGAGGCAGAGATCAGGAAACAGCCAAGATGCCCCAGCACTGACGAATGGATTAAGAAAATGTGGTATCTATACACAATGGAATTTTATGCAGCCATGAAGAAGAACGAAATGTTATCATTCGCTGGTAAATGGATGGAATTGGAGAACATCATTCTGAGTGAGGTTAGCCTGGCCCAAAAGACCAAAAATCGTATGTTCTCCCTCATATGTGGACATTAGATCAAGGGCAAACACAACAAGGGGATTGGACTATGAGCACATGATAAAAGCGAGAGCACACAAGGGAGGGGTGAGGATAGGTAAGACACCTAAAAAACTAGCTAGCATTTGTTGCCCTTAACACAGAGAAACTAAAGCAGATACCTTAAAGCAACTGAGGCCAATAGGAAAAGGGGAACAGGTACTAGAGAAAAGGTTAGATCAAAAAGAATTAACCTAGAAGGTAACACACACGCACAGGAAATCAATGTGAGTCAATGCCCTGTATAGCTATCCTTATCTCAACCAGCAAAACCCCTTGTTCCTTCCTATTATTGCTTATACTCTCTCTACAACAAAATTAGAGATAAGGGCAAAATAGTTTCTGCTGGGTATTGAGGGGGGGGAGCGGGAGGGGGTGGAGTGGGTGGTAAGGGAGGGGGTGGGGGCAGGGGGGAGAAATGAACCAAGCCTTGTATGCACATATGAATAATAAAAGAAAAATGAAAAAAAAAGTACAGATTTTTTACACACTAATTATACCTCAATAAAGCTTTTTTTAAAAAGAAAAAAAAAAAAAAAGGAGGCAGAGATCAGGAGGGTCACGATTGGAAGCTACCCAGGCAAATAGTTCAGAGACCCTATCTCGAAAATAGCCGTCACAACACACACAAAAAAAAGGACTGGTGGAGTGGCTCAAGGGGTAGGCCCCGAGTTCAAACCTCAGTAACCACAAAAAAAGTAAACAAATATTAAATGGTATTGATTGTGTAATTCTTACAAAGTTGACTACCTTAAATCATTGTATCCTCATCGTCAAGAGTTATATAATATAATTATGTAATATAATTGGAAAACAGTTTAACACATAGGAAATTATGCTGGTATCATGCAATTCACTAATAATTGAGTGCTGTATATCAAAAAATGCTATAGAAAGGCGAGATTAATATGTGTTTGACTAGTCAAAAAGTCTTCCTGGAAGACTTCAGCCCAAAGCTTGCACAAAATTAGAAAAAGCAGAAAAGGGGGAAGTATTCAAAACAGGGACTAAGAAAAGACAAAGGCAGTCAGCCAAGGATTAGTATGGACTTTGGAAAGGACAGTCAAGAAACTAGCCTGTACAGTCAGTACTAGTCAGTACAAAGTTATTATCAAGTAAAAACAACTTAAAGGAAAAGACCAAGGTGAAAACTATGCCTTTTTTATTAACTTGTTCTTAAACTCTGCCTATTTTTGTTTAGAAATATCGCATGACTTCATTTCTTTCTCTTTCTTCCTATTCTAATGACACCTTTCATGGGTGGGTATGGATCTATGCCTCTTGACATAGTCTCCCAACTACTCTAGACCATGCAAATCTCCCCAGAGCACTATTTTATAACTGATTTGACCACTTGAAAATAGAAAGTCTCAATTATTTAACTGTGCTTCTGTTTTTCAGCATGACTGTATAGACTTTAAAGGCAACACTGTCTTAAACCATGGTACTATAAACCTAATGTCTACAAAAGTGGATACTTGCAAGTAATTTTTATTAATTTACACAACATTGTGAGAAATCAGAAAAGATTATTTATATTAATATAGTAGTTGATAGAAAACATTCTGGAAAGAGAAACATTAAAATATAATGTTTAGTTTGGTCAAAATGTGTCTTATGCAAAGAAATTTCCATAATTTTAAAGCCTGCCTGTCACTCATGATTGTTATAATCTTGTGTTTAAATAGATTAACAGTAACTTAACAGAATTATAACCTTTTCTCCCTAAGAAAACAATTAGTGTGTCTTACAGAAGAAATCTGATGTGAAAATAATCTTAGCCATCCAGACAAGATTTTGAAGTGGAAATTCAGACATCCAGTAGTTAAAAATAGTCTCCCACATTCTACTTCATTTAGTATTGACCCTCCACAACAAAGTATATTTGAAAAATGACCAACTACTATGGTATTTAAAAATGATCCACCATCCCTGTAATGTGACTCACGCTTAATCCTAACTACTCTGGAGATGGAGATCAAGAAGATCAGTTTGGGACCAGCCGGACAAACAGTTCACAAGACTGCATCTAAACCAATAAAAATCTGGGTGTGGTGGTAAGCCCCTGTCATCCTAGCTACATGGAAGTGTAAATAGGATACTGTAATACAGACCAGGCTAGGCATAAAGCGAGATCCTATTCGAAAATAACTAAAGAAAAAAGGGTTAGATGTGTGACTCAAGTGGTAGAGTGACTGCCTAGCAAGCACAAAGCCCTAAGTTAAAAAAAAAAACCAGCACCACCAAAAGAAGAAAAAAAAAGATCCAGCTAGCCCAAATCTCATGACTTCCTCTAGTCCATTTATATAAAATAATTTTTCCTTGGGCTGGAGGCATTGCTCAAGTGGTAGAGCACCTGCCTGCAAGCACAAAGCCCTGCATTCAAATCCAGTACCATTGAAAAATATTTTTCCCTTAAAAATAGAAATTACTCTTTTTTCTTCCATTTCATCATGAATGCCACCAAAAGGAACGTCTTCTCAATGGCAAATTAACATAATCTTACAGATTATTCTTCTGAATCTAAAAGTAAAATTTTAGAATAGTCATTTTAAAAGTAAGGTATATTTAGAAGTATCAGAAAAAGTTTGGAATCAGTTAATTCACCAATACTAACAGAAAATAAATCAATTTCATTTCATACAAGTACATTTTATTACCCTGTATTTTTTTTCTTTTCCTTTTCTTTTTGGTGGTACAGGGGTTTGAACTCAAGGCCTGGCACTTATTACGGCTAGGAGCTCACCACTCAAGCCACACCCTGAGATCTGTCATCCAATGTTATACAGTTCATAATCCCATTCCAGAATTTATTAATTCTTCCATCTAAACGAGTTTATTGAACATTGCAAAACTCTGTATGCAAAGTAACATAAACCTTCTGCTTTAAAAGGCAGCTTACTCTAGAATAAATAGAAGAGTGCCCAATGCACATAAGATGAGTGGACCAACAACTGAAACTTTAATAGTTTTACAGTATAATTGAAATAGGTAGGATGAGTTCCTGTGACTTTGCTGGAGAACTGATAAGAGATTTCAAGAGACCATTTTGTACATCGTGATAGCGTCATGCTGCTGGATCATAATGATCCCATTATTTGATTCTAGACATACACAGGAATATGGGTCAGAGGTTAGCTTAGATGCTGGCTGAGCTGGAACAGATAACACCCCAGCACACTCATCAGACAGGGTCCCATGCAGCCCAGATTAAGTCTTTGTGAATCTTTGCACAGAAGTCTAACAATGGACAGATTCTGCAGTGTGTCCTCCACATCAGCAGGGTCACCTCCATCACAGCCTCCCTCCACGCTGGCCCTGGTGCCCCCAGTATTCATGTATTTCCTTGATTACCTTGTCATAAATTGAAGAATGTAGATATCCATTAACTTCTTAAAACAATCAGTGACTTCAGGAAAAGATGTGACCACAGATTGTGGTGGTGCAATTGTTCTGCACAGCACTTTGAGTCAACCACAAGACTTCTAGGAAGGAACCCTTTTATGGGGTAAATAAAATATAACCTAAGCTGAGTAATCACATTTGGAATCAAACTATGTCTCAGAAATCATCTAGATCAGTGGATTTTTTGTTTAGTGGGGCTGGGGTTTGAACTCAGGACTTCACACTTGCAAAACAGGCACTCTTATGACTTGACTTATACCTCTAGTCCTAGAGCAGTGAATTTTTTTGTGAACCAATGTAACAAGCTCTTGAGCTATAAAAAATCTAGGTGTAGAAATGGCTGTGCAACTGGCATGAGCTGTACACGAATAGTATTAGGACCAGAAGGCACAACTCTCACTCCACTGTTGCCTTTACACTGGGGAAAACCACCTTTGCCTTAGAGAACTGAGTGTGTAATCACTTGCTTCATGTACTACAACTTCAGTTAGTACTAAGCAGGCCAGTGTAGTACAGAACTGGGAAAGAAAATAAGAAGGCAACCCTTACGCAGAATTGTCGTGTGTTCTGTAGCCTTCACACGAGTGACTCTGGGTTCCCCCAGCAGCTGAACCCAGCAGGGAGCACTCTTTGCTAGCCTGCAGTGTCCTTTCTTTCAAATGTGTTAAAGAAATTATGACTCTGGATCCACCAGCCAGGTGAAATCAGTTTGTGTGTACTTTCTTTGGAGATGGAAGTTATGGATCCCTGAAAACATGGTCATAGCAGTTCTCTACCCATTTTGCAGCATTCATGAACAGCCTTCCTAAAATTGCTCTGCATGTGTGCACTCAATCTCTAGTCTGTAATTGTTGGCATGTTTCCATGATCTTTAACCTAATGAAGAATGTTGTTTACCTAGTCCATAAAAAGCAGAGACAAGCCATTTTATTCGTAGACACACACAATGACGTGCCTTATTTCATAAGACTTTCTGCAGAAGCTAGCCAAACACTTGGTACATAGTAGAATAATCCATAAATATTTTCAATCAGATACAATCTGAGCACATAAATTAGTGAATTAATTAAAGAAGATCAAGATAAACTTTCCTATTGAAAGAGTATTTACCTCTTTATAAGACATAAGTTTGGGCAGATGATTTCTGTAACTAATCTGGATGCAATCTCAGTAAAGTTTCAAATAT